AAAAATTAGGACACTTCAATTTGCATTATATTATTTACAAAGTTGTTTTTTTTTAAAGGTTAGCTAGAGATATGAAATTGAAGCAATTATTAGAGAGCCCTCTCAACTCTAACTTCCTCTCAGTCTGTAACAATCTAGAAACCTGGGATTCTTGTTACTGGCAAGCAAACATTTCAGAGAAGATATGAAAGAATAGAGGGGCTTAAAATTTAAACTCGGTAGCATAATTGTTATCAACATAAATTAACTGTTGAAAGTTTATTTCCTTAAACACATTGTTGACTATAGTTTTAACCCTTCAGTCAATCTCAGTAACTTCTTTTACTTCAACTGGGGATAGTATTAAGAATTATTCTAATGAATAATTAGAATGTACTAATGAATAGTCATGTATTTCATTTTCAATAAGGTAAGAAGCATATATGAACATAGCTCTGATAACAAAATCTTGGCCTTCTCTGTTGCTTGCGGTGAAAATGTTTGCATTTTCAAAAGAAATTGAATTACTGACTAAAATGACTCACTCGTAGCTACACTTACTGTAAATATCAATTTTTTCAGCCTTTGATGAGTTTACATTTTTAACAGATACTATTAACTAGTCATCATTATTAGAGATAATTTCTATTTTTAGTGACAATGTGCTCTGCATTATTTAGGATGTACTCTGAGATGGCTGATCCTCCCACCTATAGTACTGTGGATTATTGAATCCAGGGCCTTTGCATTGAACTACATCTCCAGCCCTTGTTTCAGTTTTTGAGAAGGTGTTTCACTAAGTTGCCCGGTTTGGCCTCAAACTTGCAATCCTCCTGCCTCAGCCTACTGAGTACTTGGGTTACAGGTATGTGCCATTGTGCCCAACTCATTTTTTTATTACTGTGTATTAGCTATAGAGACTAGTGGATTACATTTTGGCATATTAGTACATGCATGTAACATACTTTCATCATCCCCCTATTATCTCCTCAGCCCTCCTCTTCCCCTCCATCCTCACCCTCTTCTGTAACAGTTTCTCTACTACTTCAACTCAGGTTTTCTCTCTCTCTCCTTTCCTCTGTCTTCCCCCACTCATTCTTTATGTAAGAGGAAACATGCAGTATGCAGTATTTGACTTTGAATCAGTTTTTTCACTTAACATAATGGTCTCCCATTCTATTTTTCTGCAGATGGCACGATTTTGTTCTTTATGGTTAAACAATATTCTATTGTGTTTATATATCACATTTTCTTTTTCCATTCCCCTGTTGATGGACACCTAGGCTATTGCCATAGCTCAGCTACTATAAATTACACTGTAATAAACATGGGTATGCTAGTATCTCTATAATATGCTGGCTTTAATTCTTTCAGGAATATACTAAGGAGTGGTACAGCTGGACCATTCTGTTTTTAGATTTGAGGAACCACTATACTGATTTTAACAGTGGTTTTAGCACTTTACATTCTCATGAACATTGTAAGAAGGTTCTTTTTTCCCCACATCCTTGACAGTATTTATTATTTTTTCCTATTCAGATAGGTGTTCTGACTCAGGTGAGATAGAATCTCAGTGTAGTTTTGATGTATTTCCAAAATAGCTAAAGATGTTGGACATTTTTTAATGTACTTAATAGCCATTTGTTCTACCTCTTTGAAGAATTCTCAGTTCATTTTACTATTTAGTGACTGGGCTGTCTGTTTTGTTTCATTTTGGTGTTAAGTGTTTTGAGTTCTTATTATATTCTAGATATTGATCCTCTGTTGAAAGACCAGTTAACAAAATTTTCTCCTATTCTGTAGGCTGTCTCTTTACTGTTTCTTTTGATGTACAAAAGCTTTTTAATGCAAGGTAAGCCCATTTGTTCATTCTTGCTATTATTTCCTGTGCTATTCCTGTTCAGGAAGTCTTTGGGCCAATGATTTCAATTGCTTCCCATTTTTTCTTCTAGGAGGTTCAAAGTTCCAGATCTTATACCTATGTCTTTGATCTATTTTGAATTAATTTTTATACAGAGTGAGATATTAGAGTCTAGTTTCAATCTTCTGCATAGGGATATCCAGTTTTCCCAGCACTATTTGTCAAGAAGCTCTCTATTCTCCAATGTATATTCTTGGCTTCTCTGTCAAGGATCAGATAGCTGTAGTTGCGTGAGTTTCTTTCTGTGCCTCTATTCTATTCTATAGGTTGATATATCTATTTTTGTGACAGTACCACATTGTTTGTGCTACCAAAGCCTTGTAATATACTTTGAAGTCTGTAATTGTGATACCTCCAACACTGTTCTTTTTGCTCAGGACTGCTTTAACTATTCTAGGTCTTTTCTGCTGCCATATGAATTTTAGGATTATCTTTTCTAATTCTGTAAAGGATGTCATTGATGCTCTGAGGATTATATTCAGTCTGTAGACCACTTTCATTAATATGACCATTTAAAAAATATTAATTCTGGTGATTCATGAGCATGGGGTCTCTTTCCATTTTCGAGTGCCTTCTTCAATTTCTTTCATCAATGTTCTGTAATTGTCATTCCAGAAGTCTTTCATCCCTTTGGTTAGGTTGATTTCTAAGTTTTTGTTCTGCTTCGAGTCTCTTTTGAATGTAATTGTTTTCTTGATTTTTATTGGTATATTTTTAAAAGCTATTGATTGTTTTTAATGTAGATTTTGTATCCTCCCACTTTGCTGAATTTGTTAATCAGATCTAAAAATCATACAGTGGAGTTCTTAAGGTCTTCTAGGTTAAGGGTCGAATCGTGGGCCCAAAAGTGTAATTTGACATTCCTTTCCTACTATATCCCAGTTGTTTGTCTCTGAATCTAGAGTCTTCAGACTAAACTACATCCCTAGCCCTTTATTTTTTATTTTAAGACAGGGTCTTACTAAGTCACCCAGACTGGGTTTGAATTTGTGATCTTCCTGCCTCAGCCCCTAGCCCTTTTTAAATTTTTCTCATTTTGAAATAGGGTCTTATTATAGACAGCTAAGTTAGGTAGAAATATTATAGACAGTCAGATAGGGCTAGGCTCTCAAGGGAGAGTCAGTGCAGAGGATGAAAACACATTACAATTGTGGCTGGAGGCACATTTGTTGAAGGCAAAGCCTCAAGATAAAGACAGAAGGAGCAGACCTACATACCTTCCCAAGGTATAAGGCAACTGGTATCACCTGGTCCAATAAAGTCTAGATAGACATCAGTCACCCCAGTGGGTAACCAAGACCCCCTGATCCATCCCTTCTTAAGGAAGGTTTCCATGTACACTTGCTATGTGGCCTACTTCCCCATTGGGTCAATATTACCTAAACAGCTTACTTGTAATCTTATTGGTGATCACAGTTTTGACCCACGTTGTACCCACCACATGATTTTGCTCTATAAAACTTCCTTGCTTGTTGGCAACCCACTTTCGGGTCCCCTCTTGTCTATCAGGAGCTCTATCTCTCTCTATATAAGTTTTCCTACTCTTAATCTCCATTGTTCCTTTGAATTCTTTCTTCAATTTTGGGGAACACAGACTCACATATCTGACATCTAACAGGTTGGGAGTTACATTTATTTCCCCTATATCAGACTCACTAAGTCACTAAACTGCCCAGGCTGGGCTCAAACTTGTAATCTTCTTACCTCAGTATCCCAGAATGGCTGGATTAGAGGTATGTGCCACCACACCTGACTCCTTTTCTTTCTTTCTCATGCCTACTTGTTATAGCTAAAACTTCAGGTACTATATTGAACAGAAGTCGTGAGAACAAATACTCCTAACTTTTTTTTGAGAAAATTTTAGATTTTTAGAGATTTTAGAGAAAATTGTTTCTATTTTCCTCCATGATGCTACTAATTCCAATTCTAAAATTAGGCTGATACCATTTTTGAGATTAGTAACTGAGAACCTTATGGTATTTTTAAAGCACAAGCTATGCAACAAATGAGTAAATATTTACTGGAGTTTAGCTAAGTACAAAGCAGTTTCTCTCTTGAAACCTAAATCCTAGTCCAGATGCTATATCTGAGTTCTAGAGCTATATCCTTTTCATTAAAACTAGAAAGGCTACTGACAAATCATTTGAATGCTAACATAAAAGGAAATTGTTTATGTTGGGAGGACACAGTCCAACATAGTCAAAGAGCAAGTAACACAGTGGAAAACAGGAACAGCTACTAACTTACTGAGTCTCTTTCAAAGCCAGTCACTCTCCTAAGGATTCTACGGACTTCATTTATGTGTCAAGACATGCACTTAAGTCTCAGAATCATTTAAAGAGTATTACTGAAGCATGCGTTCATGAAAAGTTATAGTAGCACTATTAGTGATAGCAAAGAAAAAATGTCTCATCAGAATAGCTAAATAAACTGCAGTATATTTACATATTTGGATGCTATATAGCAATGGAAATACACAAACTATGGCTATATACCACAACACAGATGACCTTAAAACACAAGTAAAAGAAATCAGAAATAAGAATATATATAATGATTCAATTTTTATATACAGTAAAAATACCTGCAAAACTCATCTAAACAGAAATCAAAATAGTAATTATCCATGAAATTGAAAGGGAAATAAAAATCTGGGAGTATTGGTTTCATTTCTTGATTGGGGGATAGTTGTACGAATTGTGTTCACTTTGCAGTTATTCATCAATTTTCATACCTATGCTTTAATGATTGTATACCTCTCCGTATTATGTTATATTTAAATTTAAACATTTACCCATATGGAAGGATGTTTTGGGGGTGTTGAAAATGTTTCAGAACTAAATAGAGGTAGTAGTTGTATAATACTGTAAACAGAAGTGGTGAGAACAAATAACTCCTGCCTCTTTCCTGATTTTAAAGAAAACTGTTTCCAACTTAAAACACCATTGAAGCATGCACTTTAAAATGGTTAAGTTTATGCTGCATGAATTCAACTCAATTTTTAAAAACTACCCTAACAGTCAATCCTAATATAAACAACGTATATTTTTACTAGTAGGTATTCACGACTACAAATACTGAGTTATAATGCTAAACTTACCAACTGCTGTGTCACCATCTAACAAATTATCATCTTCAGAAGTCTGAAAGTCCATAATAACACCTGCTCCATCTAAAAGTTCCTCATCACTACTTGCACTTGTTATACTGTTGTAGCTGTTTCTATAGTAGCCTCTATGGAACAGCTGCTCAGACTCCATTTAGCTCTCTGATTATCTGGAAAAAAGGGGGAAAAATGGTTTTAACATTTTCCCAATATATGTCACCTAGTTTAATATCACAAAAGAAAAGCTTTGATCTGCAATAACTACCTTTATTTGTTAAGTTTGTGGGGTTAATAATTTTCTTCTCATACAGCTATAAAAAATAAAAATTTTGGGCCAGGGATTTAGCTCAGTGGTTCTGCCGCCTGCCACGCAAGCAGAAGGATGCAAGTTTGATCCCCGGTACCAAAAAAAAAATTTTTTTTCTTCAAATACTGGTATAAAACAATTCCCATAATCAAATAAGTTTTAAAAATGTAAAGCAGAGAGATGCATTTACAGTATGCTACAATTTATGTGGGACCCCCAGCGACAAAAAATGTGGTGGGGGGGGCATAGTTACCTGTGTGTGTGTAAACTGTGGGAGATTTCCAAAAAAGTTGCCACAGGAAAGGGACCAAGATGACTGAAGTACTAGTTTGAAAGGTAGACTGTCCCTTTTTCTAATTTTAAAAATTAATACTGGATTATAAAAAATTTTAACTTCTTTCTCCATTCATCATTTTAAAATTCAAATTTAAACCCTCAGAGCACACAAACATTAGCCATGTAAAAAAAATACTGGTTATAATTTTCATTTTTTCAAAGCAGGTAAAACCAAATCAACATGTTATTATTGTTCTTATTCGCTGAGAATAAAATTACCCTGAAATAGTTTGATTTTAAAAATATATCTACTTAATTCAACATCAAAATAAGAATTCAGTATCTGTGTGTTGACATTACAACAGACTTGAAAAGTACATGTGGTATAGGACTTAAAAGTTAAGCATAAAAGCAGTCAAACAAGACTGGCAGAACAAGCCTGATTAGATAAGTCTGAGTAGCTACATTGTAGAAAATGAAAGGAATGAAACTAAGCATACTCCAATTCTACTGCTGAATTCTAGTAATGAATTTTACTAGAAGACTTGAGATTGTTTGAAGACAATCTCTCGTACTCAGTAAATTTTCCTTCTGCACATGAAAAATATCTCCAAAAAAAATTTCACAATAAAAATGCATCTATAAAGTATAGTTGTTCTTTCTTTTTTTTTTTTTTGGTACCAGGGATCGAACTTGGGTCCTTGGGCTTGCGCAGCAGGCGACGAAACCACTGAGCTAAATCCCCGGCCCTAGTTGTTCTTTCTTAAAAAACATTATCAGTAACTTATCTTTTTAAAAGGTTTATTATATAAATTTCTCCAAATTTGAAGATCACTTCAAAGAAGGTGACATCTTGAGAGATCCTAGAGAGTGTGGTCTAGCTCATCACTTAGCACAATGGCTGGCACAATGTATGGGCAATAAATGCCAAACTCTTTATTCATCAATGAGGTCCAAAAACGAAATCAGTTTGCAGTAAACAAACGCTTTCTGCAACAGTATGAAACTGGTTTTGTTAGAATATACAAAAATTAGCACATAAATTGCAAAGAAAACTTAAATATTTACTGCTTTGCAATTTTATGAATGTCATATAGTTACCACTACCAAGGACAACCTACTACAATACACTAAGATTGTCAGAGTATTAAAGCAAGTTTTATAGTTAAGTGTTAAAAATAGGAAAACATGAAAATAACTGTTTATGCTAAGAATTATGTAGTTCTTCTGAGACAACCAAGTTATTGTGACTCTTTAAAAACTAAGCATTAATAGTACAAGAATCAAAAAAAAAAGAGAGAAAGAGAAAGAAACTTGCTGGATCAATTAACATTTACAGCATTAATGAATAACAAATGTACACCAAATGAATGAAACATCTCTACTTGGTTGTTGCATGAGAATTCAAATTCAATGAGACCTAAACTAAATAACTACTTGCCCTAAAGTTGTTTGTCCTTCTACCTTCCCTATCTCAATATGCAAGATCACTCATTTATCTAACAGCCAAACAACTGAGCACCTACCACATCCAGGCACAAAAGTCAGGTGCTAGAGTATTGAATTAGATATGATTCCTGCTCCCAAAGCAGTGAGGGTGACAGGTATGTAACTACACTAAGACAAGACAAGCATCACAAGAGAGGTATACAAGTATCTGATAACACTGAGAGGAAGTAAGCAAGCCAGCTAAGAACCTGTGAACACTTAACATGGACAAAGTTAACTCAATATTGAAGAATTACAGATGAGATAACCATGCTATGAGGTGAAAAAAAACCCCACAAAAGTACATTCAACAACACAAATGCAAAATAACAAAACCTGCTCGGGGACTGGAGAGTAGTTAGAGAGATCACAAAGGGAGGGGCTCATATATCATGCTAAGAAAACTTTTATCTTCATCTATGCACATATGGAGCCATTAAAATTTTTAAAAGAGAAACCACATGATCAGATATTAATTTAGCAAGCCAATACTAGCAGCAGGATGGAAGGCAGATTCGAAAAACAAAAGACTGAAGAACTAAAGATGGAAGAATTAGATGAAAGAAGACCTTTGAACAATTCTAAACATGAGCTAATAGGGCATGACTGAACTAAGACATAGCAAAATGGAGAAGCAGAGTTTGATAAATGTTTAAGAAGACTTGATAAATAATAAAATGTAGGCAATACTAAAGAAGAAGAAATCTAAGATATCCACTAAGTTCTGACTTGACTAGCTGACTGAAAACAAATTTTTGTGTTCTCTAACTCACAGGGCTCATGACCAGAGAGAGTTCTTTCCAACATTAGGATTACACATTCAGGCTTGAGTTTCTACTTAAAGTCAGACTATAAAGAAGGGCAGACTTACCTTCAGCAAATAGATCTAGCTCTCAAACTGCAAACGCTAAATCGCATACCACCTGAATTTGGGAGTGGAGGTAGAAAGAGGAAGACCCTGGAAACAAGTGCCCTAAGAGACTCAGCCTGAGGCAGGCAGACAATGGAGACTGTGTGGAACTGAGGATCATGGCTAAGTTCCAAAGGTATGTCCATCAAAAATCCGTCTGGACAGTAAACTGAACAGAAAAGTAGGTCACAATCTGGGTGAAAGAATTACTGAAAATCCTCAATGTCAGCAACTAGAAAGATGGAACAAAATCTCAAGAGCAATGATGTCAGGGAGGTAAAAATACGATTCATCTAGTAATTTGTATGTAAGAAGCTGTCTCACTTAAATATTTTGATAAGTTTGTGCTAGCTACTGGTGACACACTAAAATGTCACAATTTTGTTATGAATTTCAAAATAATTATGTATTCATTTAATAATGTTTATAGAATAAGTATCAAAGTATCAGAAAACAAAAAATATTTTTACTGACTTAATGCCATATTTGTATAGACCTTTCAGCTTTCAGTAAACTTCAGCATAAATTACATTAACAGTGTCCTCAAGGGAGGTGTTGTAATGTTTTTCTACATATTAATACATCCTTACAATAAAAGCAGTACACGACATATCACAGAAGACAAAAGAATAATTATAAAAGCTCAGAAAAGACCAAATTTCACTGTGACTAATGACAAGAAGCTTTTTTGGAAGAGATACTCTTGAATCGGAACTCAAAAGATAAGTAGGCTTTTCATGGGACAGAGATGGTAGAAGTTATCTGCAGCAATATAAATGGCCTGACTCAAGCTATGGAGCTGAGAAGTCAACAGAAATATCTGTAGGAAAGTGTGTGCCCTGGAAAAGGCTTCATGGTCAATAAGTTAAAGAAGTCTATCACATTTCCATCTAGAATTACAATGGCGTTAAGCCTAAGAAAGATTCTTGAGAAAACCTGTAGTTCTGAGCCTAGGGCATGGTGGTACCCGGCCCATATTCCTGGCACTCAGGAGGCTAAGGCAGGACTGCTGTGCGGTCAAGGCCAGCCTGGTAACACAGTGAGACCCTATCTCAAAAGTCAAGCAAACAAAACAAAAGAGCCTATCAGAAAAGTTTCTTAAATTTAGTTTTTCAGGGAATGACCCACCCCATGTAATACTTGTTAACATTCTACAGTAGTAATGTTCCTGAGCGTATCCTTTGGGATTGCTGTCCTAAAGCACTAAAGCTGTCCCCGGGGGTTGGTTGATCCCAAGAACCTAACCATGAGAGAGGAACAAAGGAAGGATCCAAAGCTGCCTTCTGAGAAGAGCAAAATGGCATTTCGGTAAGGAATGTACCAACAAGGTGAGACTGAAGACAAAGATACCAGTTAATTTTGCAATTATTCCAATAATAAATAATAATGGAGCCTGGGTTGTATCTCAGTGGTAGAGTACCTGCCTAGTATACACAAGGCCCAGGATTCAATCCTCAGCACTACAAGTCATCGTGATCATCACAGACCTAAAGCACAGTAAAAACAAAAAAGAACATATACTCAGGTGTCACAGAGAAGATAAATAAATCTGGATTTATGAGGAACTAGGGAAAAGTAAGCATCAATGATTGTAAAGTCTGTTTCTTTATTTTTAGTGAAGAGACTGTCTTCCTACAAAGTGTAAATTCAATATAAGAAAATAGGTGAAAAAAACCACAAGAGGTTCACTGCCTGTCTCAAAAGCACAAGGTCCCGAGTTCGATTCCCAGTACCAAAAAAAACCCCGAAAAGAACACAGAGGGAAAAATAGGTGGGCATGTTACATATGTGATGATCCCAGAATACACAGATAGAAATATCTATCTAGCAGGTGGAGTCATTGAATTCCCATTGGGAATATGTGCCATATTCTTTTTCCCATCTAATTTCACACTGTGGGAGAGATCTTTTCTCCTTTTCATAACCAAGTAATTACAACATGAAATGAGAAAGAAAGCAGTAAATTAAAAATTAGGCAGAGTTATTTACTAATGACCTTTAAACAGAATAATCAATCCTTATTTCAAAATAACTGGAAAATGGAAATTAGATGTATAGTAAACACATTCTCAATAGCCTAAATAATTAATCTGAGATGTATAAAACTAATGAGACATTGAAGATAGTATTTGTATAGTAAGGCAACATAATATTTTTTAAATATATGTAAAGTACTCAAGAAATTTAATTCAAAAATTCAAATAACTCATAAAGAGTCTAATATACAGTCTTTTTTAAGGCAAATTCAGATCTAAAACCATCAGAAAAAAAGATTACCAAAGACACTCTGACACCATATTCAGTGTATATTTTGATGTGGAATCAAAAAGAGTCAAACTCTGAAGCAAAGAGTAGAATAGTGATTAACAGAGCCTGGAAGGTGAGATGATGACAAGAGAAGTTAGTCAAAGGGTACAAAAGTTAGACAGGAAGAATAAGTTTCAGTGATCTATTGCACAGCATGCTAACAACAGTTAAAAATAATATGTTGCACAAGATATAGTGACACAGGCTGAGGCTGAGGCAGGAAGATCACAAATCCAAGGCCAGCTTCGGCAATTCAGCAAGACCTTGTCTCAAAATAACTGGGCTGCAGCTCAGTGACAAAACACTTGCCTAGTATGCAAGGCCCTAGGCAAGGTTGGATTCCCAGTAACTTAACACACACACACACACACACACACACACACACACACACACACACACAATGGCATACCTCAAAATTGCTAAAAGAGTAGTTAAGTGTTCTCAAAAAAAAAGAAAAGCTGATACATAGAGGAGTGATGGATATTTAGCTTGATTTACTCTTTCTATAACATATACATTTATCAAAATATCATACATTACTGCATAAATACATACATATAATTATTTGTTAAAAGTAAAAACAAACAAAAATTTGCAAAGGTGGAGCTCAATGCTAGATGATTTCTAAAAGGGCAAAGGAAAAAAAGACACACAAATAGAAGGCTCAGATTAAAAGCTGAAAGAGAGGGGCTGGGGATTTAGCTCAGTGGTGCCGTCCCTTGGCAAGGTCCCAAGTTTGACCTCAGGTACCCCCCCCGCCCCCCCCAAAATTGGAAGAGAATGATAATCCACTAGTACTACACTGTGAAAGACTGAGACTTTAAAACTAGGTAAGTTTTCATGACTTTAGAAGACAAACTGTTTCCCTAAGAATAACAAAATAAAATACATTTACTTAGTTCCATTCAACATGGCCAATCAATGTAGACAGGGCACTAAGATCACCCTCTGTTTTATATTTAATTATCTTAAGAATCAAAATAAATCAATGTTTATTAACAGATATGAAATGTTTACATAAAAAAGCTTATTAAAGTAGTAGAACTAAGACTTTTTCTTTTAAAAACACTATTGTCAAGAGTTGCTGTAATTTGATATTACTGTTATAATAAAAAAAATAAAGGAACCTATGGCACCATAACTCTCATTCTTTTTCTCTAGAATTTGAATCAGTAGAAATTGCAGTACTTTGCAGCCATACTCTACAGTACTTCCATACTCTTGTTCCGAAATCATACTGCTGGATCTCAAGTCTCATTTCTGACACTTGTAAGACACTGGGCAAGTTAATTAAATCCAGTCTTCATTTTCCACATCTGTAAAATGGGAATAGTGAAAGTACAGTACCTAAAAAAAGGTACAGTTCCTACTTCATGGAATTGGTGTAAAAATTGAGATAATCTACAAAAACTGCTTAGAAAAGACTGAATCACAGAATGTAGTCAATTCTTAATATTATATCATATTATACATTCTAGATGCCTGCTGATAAGTCTGACCACAAACTGAGCTGGAGGTCCTATAAAGCAGTGATAGTGGCCAAATCCCACAGGATACTGCTTTGATATATGACTCACCACAGAGATGAAATGTGACTTCCTGAGTGGTCTAAAAATTATTACCAACATGTCACAATAGGAAATGGAAAACCTATCACTACCATGATCTAGAAAAATCACCAATTTTCTAACACAGACCCATACCCTCAACAAATATGTTCCTCTGAACTGTACATATCCAAAACCAGGTTAAATATTTACATTCCTAATGAGTTATTTATGATTGACAAAACATGCTAAAGTACAATTCCTATTACTATACATTCACAATGTCCTGTTAAAAAAAAAGTTTTGACCTGTCATTCAAGCAGAATAACTGAGTGGGAAAGGGAAAGAAAAGGATGGGAGACAAATACACACTGTGACAGTCTGTCAACAGGGCTTTCCCTATTAACTAGAGGTTGAGGGCCGGGGATTTAGCTTAGTGGTTCCAGCGCCTGCCTCGCAAGCGCAAGGTCCCAAGTTTGATCCCCGGTAACAAAAAACAAATTTAAAAAACCCACAAAAACCTATTAACTAGAGATCGTACAACCATATACAATTTTAGAAAATATCTACAGGTAATACACAGTTTTCAAGCCATAAGAGCCAATAAGAACACACTTAATAGCAGCAGTAGCATCTTTTAAAAAGTCTACAATATCTACATAAGCATCTAAACTCTGGTGTATATTCTTAAACTAAGTACTATTTTTTGGTCACTTACAAAGGCACATAGAACAGACAGTTAAATTATTTCCATATCGACCTAGTAAGGAAAATAATTAAATTAATTCTTTGTGAAGGGAAAAAGTATTTCCGGGAAGTCAACAAACAATAACATAAGCTACAATGATGCCACAGGAACTGAGCTGCATGGCTCTAAAAGTTGATGTTTGAAGAACTTAAGTTTGTTTTTTTTTTTTGGTACCAGGGATCGAACTCGGGACCTTGCGCTAGTGAAGGCGGCAGAACCACTGAGCTAAATCCCCAGCCCCTTAAGTTTTTAATTATATATACATAGAAAAGATATAAAGGTATGGTGACTATTGATTCAGTTCTCATGAACAAGATTTTTTCCCCCAAAGGAAACAAATGTCAGCCTTCATTAGGCATCATGTAGATGTAATTATCTCCTATGTGTTCCACAATTTTCAAGTGCCATACAAATAAAGCATACCACATGAAAAGTTAATTTCTGAGACCCTAAGGTAGTTTCTGGTCCAACAACTTTAACATAAAAACACAAATTTACAAGCAAAATGCTTTTATATACCCATATAAGTCTAAAAACATAGAAAAATTGATATTATTTTTAAATTTGGGCAAATTTTGCCAAAAACCCACTCTGTAAATTCAAAATTAATCTTTTCCTGGTACCGACTTCCATTCTATGCAAAGTTCCTTCGACGGTTCCTGAAGGAAATGAGTAACATCTTAAAGAAAGTAAGAGGGTATACACGTAACCAGGATGGGTTTAACATCACGTAGGTACAGGTGTTGGAAGAACCAACACGTGAGCCCTGGCTTCACGGACGACCCCAAATCTGCGAACATGACAGCTAACGAATCTTCGCTGGTAAAATGCAACTCACCTCGCAGCTCAGAAGCATAGCAAAATCGGTGGCTGTTTTTTGTGCTGCCTTTGGATTCTGCATCTGTTTCAAACCTAAAACCTAGCTACCCTGGGAGGTTCGTCTAGAAAAAGCTTGACACACAACGAAAACTATCGCGATTTTCTACTGAAGAGGTTACGTAAATTTTGCTAGGTGGTATTTTTTTTTTTTTTGTCCTCTTTCATACACGGGAGCAGCATTAAGTTAAATCCTCTTGCTATGAAGGACCTTAGAGTCAACCTGCTTCTCTCCAAAATTAAAAATAAAAATCCCCAACCTCACTTCCCTCTCAAAAGACTAAAACTGAATCCATGGTCCAACTCGGGAGGAAAGTAGGATGGCTTTCAAGCCTCCACACCCCCCTTCCTCATTTTCCAGCCTGATTCCGGGTTGCGGGCGAAATAGGGCTGAAAAGGAGGCTGCGGTTCTGGACCAAACCGGCCCTGACCCACGGAAAGGGAAGAAAAGCGGCAGGGGTCCGGAGTCCGACAGGTACGTCGCTAGCGTCGACGCGTGACATCACCGCGTTGACGTGAACGGCCGTTCAGCGTCAGGCCGCCCAAGAACATCCTCCTCCGGCCACTCTCCGAGAGGCACTTCGGCGCCGATTGGGCAGTGTGGAGATGGTGGGCGGGCCGGGGCCGGGGCCGGGCCGTGAGGAGGAGGGGCAAGCTAGCTCGGCAGCGCCGAGGGCCGAGCTGCGTGTGCAGGTCTTGTCACTCACGCAATCCTCTTTGCCCCGCCGGTGACCTCCGAAAAGGTTTGGGGGCGGCCACGAAGGGGGAACCCTGTTCCGAAGGGCCTCTGCGCGCGTCAAGAAGCTCGAATTCCCCGTGAGAGCAGCGAGCTTGTGAAACGGCAGCTTCGGGCTCGAAAGTGAAAGCAAAAGTAGTGGAAGAGCTCTGGCTCTAAAATTTAAAAGGAGAGATGTCGGCTTTCTAATTTCGACCCAGACCGGTTGGTGGCCAGGCCTACAGGTCACGGCCAATGTAACGGTGTCACCTTTCTTAGATGCCATCGCCACATTTTTTTTGTTGTTGTTGTTACCGGGGATCGAACTCAGGACCTTGCGCTTGCAAGGCAGGCGCCAAATCCCTGAGCGAAATCCCCGGCCCTCCATCGCCACATTTGAAAAAACTGGTAACCCAAATTTAGTCATGCACGTTTTCAAAAACAATGCTTAGAAATTAAGTATTTTGGAGAAAATGTATAATCTGAGGTTTCTACACGTTCTAAATTATTCATTATTTACATGTATATTTTTTGCGCTCCTCCTATGGTGTCACAGAATCCAATGTGTCTTATCTCAGTGCTCAAGTGCTGTGTGCAGACTAGGGGGTGGGGGGTGGGGGGTCGATGCAAGGGGAGAATGCCGGGCCACGGCTGAGCTAGCCAGTTAGCTGGTGAGCAGGTGGGACCTGTGGGACCAGTTGGTGTCGCCAGTGGGTGGCAGAAGTAAGACCCATGCTTGTCAAGTGTCTCCTGGATAACTGGTAATCATGAATATATATAATGCTTAATGAATAGCAACTGTCTCAAATACTACTGAATTATACTACATATAAAGTATATATGTATTATGAATTATGTATATTTTTGGTCTTCACAGCTTTTCTATAGATACATCTATATGATTTTCTGAATTTATATTGTAGGTTAGTGACTTAGGTGTGCTTAACACGTTTTGTACATTTTTATTTCTTCTTTTCCATGACAGAACTGAATATGCTCAAACAATACATTCCTGGGCTTCAAAGCTAGTACACTGCCCATGGTAATGAAGGGGTGTTCACAATGCAGTCAGGCTGATTCTGACTGCTTTCATTACTTCTATCAAGGTAGAATTTTTGAAGTGAAGCTGGAGGACCACATGTTTGAGGCCAACCTGGCCAATTTAGTGACAGCCTCTCACAAAATAAAAAGAGCTGGGGATGTAGCTTAGTGCTTCCTAAATTCAATCCCCAGTACCACCAAAAAAAAAAAAAATTGTGGAACCATTGTAATTTTTTTTTTTTTGGTACTGGGGATTGAATTCGGGACCCTGTGCTTTCAAGGCAGGTGCAGAGCCACTCAGCTAAATCCCTGGTGCAGAACCATGGTAATATTGAAGCATAGTTTTCTTTTTCTTGGAACCCCATTAGGCAAATTTCTTACCCTTTTTAGAAAATGTAGAAAGTCAAGTAAAACTTTTCTAAACCAAGTGGAATTTTTCATAAGAGATTTGCAGATGTTTTATGTTTTCTTCTCTCATTGAAAATAGCCTCATTTTGGAAAGAATGGCTAGATTTTGATTATGATAGATATTAGTCTGTCAATCATGCTTTCTATGATTATGAAAAAAATCCTTTTATAGTAGTATCTTAGTTCCTTCATAAAGGATTAGTCCAAGAATCTCTTAAATTGACAAGAACAAGTCTACTTGTAAATCTGTTATTTTGTGATATCCCTTGTATTCTGCAGGACTTTTTCCTTTGCAAGAATTTGTTTGCCATAAAATTAATGGTTTCTGGTATATATAACCATCACACTAGTAGTTATCAAGCTTCACATATCAAACCTTCAAAGGAACTTCAAAAAAATAATCTTGCTTAGGCACCACTTCTAGAATTTTGTTTTAATTATTCCAACGTTGGGTTTAAGCATCTCCATATTTAATTCTTTCCAGTTGATATGTCAGGCACAGTCAGAAATACTGCGTTAGACTTGGAGCAATATATTTAAACAATGTGCTGTGTGCTAGCTTGATGGATAAAGATTACATTTGTGAAAGGACTTGCTCTGTAATTGCTCTGGGGTTTTTGTCAGAACATCTAGTGATGTTAAATTTCCCCCTTTAAAGTCTTGGGTGAAAGGAAACACAGTGAGACCATAGGCAGACCCTTGGAACATTTTACATACCTTAATGTGAATACTTCAGTTTTATTTCATTGCTCCTCAGTGTTACAGAGGGGATTCTGATTGGTTGATATTTTTACTGAATCCCTTATGTCTTAGTTACTTTGAGTAACTAAGTTACTTTTCTCACCTAAGACAAGATACATGACATCCATAGTTAAAAAAGGAAAGCTTTATTTCAGCTCAGTTTGTAGAAATTACATCCATAGTTAGCTGCTCCAAGGCAGAGTAGCAGACAGAAGAGCATGGCAGAGGAGAAACAGTCCTTGGCCTGGTAGGCAGGAGGCAGCAACAGCAAGCCTCTCTTTCCTTTTTATCCTATCCAGGCTACAAGCCTTTTGAGTAGTGCCATCCACACCCAGGGTGGGCCTTCCCATTAACCACACCCAGAACTATGATAAGCGAATTAAGGAACCAATCCAGTACCACACACCCTTAATATTACCAGCATTACCCTAGATCCAGTCACCTCTGAAAAACCCCACCATGAGACTTTGGGGGGACATCTAGTTACAAGCTATAACACCTTCCTTTAGTGAAGGTGATTAAAGAAGAGTTCCTTAGGCCTGAGAGAATCCCTAGTGAAGAATTTTTGCAGACTTAACTGTGAGGTTTTTCTCACACAAAAAGAAATGACAGACTGGCTGGGCATGGTAGCTCTTGCCTATAAAACCAGCTACTTAAGGCTAAGGCGAGAAGATGCAAGCTTGAGGCCAGCATGGGCAACTTAGTGATACCTTGTCTCAAAAAAGGATGGGAATGTAGCTTAGCACTCTTTGGGTTCAATCAAATGCCACAGGGGGAGAAAAAACTCAACAGTCTACCTGATCCCCATACTCTAAACTGCTGTTGTAACCTTAAGAGAATAGGAGTTTGTACTAGTACAGTATCCTGTTGTAACAGATGCCACAAATTGAGTGGCTTAAAACAATGCAAATGAGTTCTGAAGGGCAAAGCCTCTCATTGGTCTCATTGGTTAAAAGTCAATGTTGGCAGGGCTGTTTTCTTTCAGGAGCTTTGAGAGAATCTACTTCAGGGCCTTTTGTAGCAACTAGGGGTCACTTGTATTTCTTGGCTCATTATTCTTTCCTCTCATCTACAAAGCAGCAATGGTGGGTTGAATCCCTGTATATAATTCATTTGCATATAATGTGATATATTGACTTTTCAGGGATTTGAGGCGCATGAACATCTTCAGAGGAGTATTATCTGCATACAACAGAGTACCAAACTCATCTTCTGACTGACAGTCTTAGTATATATTCTACAAAATGCTCAGATACAGGAAATATTTGGAGACATTGCAAAATAAGTTATTAATGTTTAGTTCTTTAAATAAAAATTTTTTGTTGTTGCTACAACTGAGTCTTTAGTAGTAACAAAAACTTTAACAGTATTCAAATTAGATTCACTCCTCCCCTACCAACCAACCTTAAGACCTCAAGAAAAGGAAAAAGAAGAAAAAGATGAACTTATAGTGGTAGCAATTTCAACCAGGTCTAGAAATGCCTGTTTACTAGTCTTTCTGGTACTCAGGTAGACACAAAGAGAAATAAATGGTGGAGGTGAGGTAAATCTACCCCACTTTCAGCAATTCTACTCTTGAATAGCAGGTTGTATTTTATAGAACTGGCAAAAGAAGTAAAAAAAAGAGCACTAAAAAGTCTATCCCAGTTTCTTCTAGATTATTGCTTCCAGACCTTGTCAAGCTGCTCTGAACTTTTTTTTGAGTTTAAAAAAAAGTGACATAAAATTATTTCCCATAAAAACCTAATGCGCAATTTTTTTGAAAGTTACACAGAAAAATCAGAGAAACAAGTAAAGCTATATCGATCTGCTTCATGCACTTGTGAGTTCTTTCAAACAAGGACATTTATTTCCTATGTTTCATAGATACTGAAAAGAGGGAATAGAAGAGATTAAGATATTTTTATGACTTTTCATACTATAATTTTTAAAGAGAAAATGGAAGGGATTAAGATAATTGTGCCTGCAGTCCAGATACTTTGGTGGCTGAGGCAAGGGATCACTTGAGGCTAGGGTTTGAGCCCAACCTATGCAACTTAAAAAAGAATAAGATACCATATTGTGGAAATAGTAGCATACTTCTTGAAGTTCTTTCTGATTTCACCAGCAGCAGAGAAGTAGTTGAAAATGATTGTTGCCTATCTTTTGTATTTTTCCTGGAAGATAACATTCTCTAGAGTAGCTTTGCACTCGTTTCCATTTGAGTCCTGTTATATTGAAATGGAAAAAAACAGACAGCAGAGACTGACAGTCTCAAAGCTTGGCAGAGACCAGGGCTGGGGATTTAGCTCAGTGGTTCTGCTGCCTGCCTTGCAAGCACGAGGTCCCAAGTTCTATCCCCGGTACCAAAAATAAAACAAAAACAAAGCTTGGCGGAGACTGATGGTCTCAAGGCTGATAGTCTAAGGCTTGCCCCTAACCCACGAAAGTCACTGTGCCCGGAAGACGAACTGCTGAAACACAGTTGCGTACCTCCCTATGTCTTAGCTGTAAAAACATTTACCTCCACCTCCCCATCCTTTGCTAAGTTCTGCTTCTGTAACATTCTGCTTGCTCCTCTGGCCCTGGCTAAAGAACTAAATATGAGAACAAATGGAGAAAAGGGGCCCAGACTCCGGAAAGTGACTTACACTGGGCCTGTTAGCTAGTGAGTAAACCTGCCCTTCCCTTCAATTCTCTGAATGCCACTCTTCCTTGGTCTCCAAGTGCCATTTCATTAGCAAACAGTTTTCCAATTTCGTGTAATTTTTTTCTACAGATTTCTGTCTGATCGTCAGAGAGACCTGATACATTCTGAACCAATTCAGCCAATCACATTCTCAAACCCACAAAGTGACCTCTTTCTCATGTCCTGCACAACTAAAAGCTCAGTGTTTTGTTCTATTCTTTTAGGTATAGATTATGATCTGCCTATTCAGATAGCTGACTCTCCTATGAGCCCTTGAAAGTAACCCAATCCAAAAAGCCTGAAACTCAAGAACTGACTAGATAGTGTTTTATCTCTGTATACTGAAGTAGGCTTACCAGATTAAGACCAGAAATTCATCAGGCTGCTATAGTTTAAATCCCAGGTCTAAATTTAGTATGATCAAAAAATACAATGAAGGTTAACTTTTAAAATTTTACTATAGTAAAAGACACGTTGTCATTAATTTCCCCTCAAAATATTTCCTCTTCCTTTGAACACACTTATCCTATCATGCTTGCCACTTTCTGAAACAGTTCTGGAAGTTTTCTTTCATGTCTTTAAGAGGTGTAATAAAAAATGCTATCAGTGGAAAGGCAGATTTGTGTCTAAAAACACAGTATGCTCTCATCCACCTTATTCACTGGATCTGGCACCATCTGACTTCTGGCTTTTCCTCAAAATCAAAATGACTGTGAAAGGTAAATGTTCAGGACATAGAGGCAGCCACAATAGCACAACTGAAGACACTCATGAAAGAGGCCTTCCATCCAGAACTGCTTCAGAAAGTAGCAAGAACAATGGGATAAGTGTGTTCAAAGGGAGGGAAACTGTTTTGAGGGGGATTCATGGCAATGTATTCTTCAATAAACTTTAAAAGTTTTTTCAATTCACTATTTTTCATTCATACTTCATATCTCTTTGGCAAGTTTGGAAACCAAAATAACTGACAGAATTGACCACATGCAAATTCACAAATTTCTTTGTGATCAAATCTACCGTAAAACAATTAGTGAGTGACTGACAGAAAACATTTGTTCCATAATATGTTAGATGGTTAATTTCCATATATTACAAATAGCCCCTACAAACAGATAAAAAGATAATCTAATAGCAAAAGACCAAAGGATATGAAAGGCAATCATAAGAGGAAATTCAAATTAAAAAAAAAAAATTAGAGAAACAATGCTTGTGGAAATTGGCACCTTTTCTACAAAGCTATTTAGAGTGTGAATTTATTATGCTGCTCTTTTTTTTTTTTTTTTTTTGGTACCGGGGATTGAACTCGGGACCTTGAGCTTTTGAGGCAAGCACTGGAACCACTGAGCTAAATCCCCGGCCCTATTTTGCTTCTTAAAAGTAACCTGGTGTACTAGTTACTTTTCTCGTGGCTGAGACAAAATACCCAACACCCAAAATTAAAGAAGGAAAGGTTTATTTTGGCTCACAGTTCATAGAGGTTTAAATCCATAATTGCTGGCTCCAAGGCAGGGTGGCATGGCAGAGGGGCATTGCAGAAGACAAGCTGAAGTAGCAATAAGCAGCAAGCCACAAACAACCATAGCGGCTTCTTTCTGCCCTTTTTGCCCTTTCACATTCTATCTGGGCTACTCAGTTTAGGGTGGGTGCCAAACCAATCAGTGGACTAATTTCGTAATCACCCTTAATCCTAATCCTAGCATTGCACCGTGAGTCAGTCACACACTCTAGATCTAGCCACATCTGAAAAAGGCCCACCTATGACTGCATGAGGCTTTGGAGGAACATGGAAACACAAACCATAACACCCAGGATGTGGCAGCTACTTTCCAAATGTGACTGTCATTGACTTTGTCCTTGTAAATTTTGCCTCTCTGTGAACCTTATTTTGTCCAAGAATATGACAAAAATAATGTCATACTTTTTCCTAACCTGGCCCTTAAAAGGACTGGCAACTTCCATGTCTTACTTAAAGTATAACTGCACTGAGACTACGATGTTGTGAGCAATCCAAACCAGCCATGTAGAGAGACTGGAGGAACACCAATGCTCTAGACGTGTGAATGAAGCCTCTTGGACTGTCTGGTCAAGCACAGTTGCTAGCTGAATGAGGCTAAGTGAACTATCTCAGTTGAAGTCATGTGGAACTAAAAAAACCACCTAGCAGAACTCTCCTGGAATTCTGGCTCACAAAATTACAAGGAATGATAAATTACTGTCGTTTTAGGTCACTAAGTTTTCAAGTGGTTTGTTACACAATAGATATCCAAACCATTAGAGTATTAAAGTGAAAAATGCATACTTTTGTCCTGGTAACCTACCTTTAAGAATCTATCCCTTAGAAATAACAATGCCATTGGAAACCATTTCTGAGTTTTCTGAGTGCTGGGTGGTTGAATGCATTTGGGTACATCCATGTTTGGAATATTAATGTCATTGATGTGAATTTGAATTAGTTGATCTCTGGAGAGATGTTTATGATATACTGTTAAATAAAAATTGCAAGTTGCAAAATAATGTGTGTACTGTGACCCCATTTTAAAGGATTAAGGGGCTGGGGATTTAGCTCAGTGGTTCTGCCGCTTGCCTCATGAGTGCAAGGTCCCGAGTTCGATCCCCAGTACCAGAAAAAAAAAGGATTAAAATATATAGATGCATGTTTATGTTTTTAGAAACTTAGAGAAAAATGTAGGTGATATTTGTAAAACTTATCATTGGTTTCATGGAGGAATGTACACAGAAGTGAACTTGGAGGATGAAGACTCTTGGATATGCTTATGGGTTGTTGCAAGGAAAGCAGCAAAATCTGCTTTTGTTTGAAAGAAAAACCCAACAAAATATTTAAAGAAAAAGAATAAAAGAAACCAAAAAAGATTCCTATTGTAAAAGTTATTAGACTGTACAATGCTATATAAACCAGAAAGGGAAATCATCAGGTAATTTTCTGAACTTTGGTAAAGTAACCTGGCTTACTCAACTCAACAATTTATCAAGGACATCTTTACATGTCAGTAAATATAGATACTGCTCACCCTCTGTCACGGCTTTAGGTGTTAAATTATTTGAATATATTGTAATTTATTTAATCAGTTCCTTGTTAGACATTTACATTGTTTCTAGTTTTTCTAGTTATGAACAATAATGGTTATCCTTGTGTATACATCTTGGACTTCTGGTCCTAGAACTAAAACTGAGTCAAAAGATATGCATATTGCTAACATACTTTCTGCACAGACTGCAGCTATTTATATTTCCACCAACAGTTTATGATAGGATCCTAAAGATATATTATCTGAGGACATATCTGAATAGCCATTCCTTCTGTAAGCAGCAAGAAGAATGAGGATTAGATTATCAATTGGCAAAGTTTTCATATCACTTTTCTGTAAAAATGGATGTGGGCAGAATTAGTTATTGTGCATTCAGACACCAAAATTCCTTCTCACTGGGAGTGGGAGGGATCTCGGGAGGTTAGCCTAGAAATGAAAAGAATACCGAGAACAACTCTTTAGTAGCTGCATGGAGATTGTAGGGATAAATCAAGGCAGACTCTTTCCAGGGTGCCAGCGTGGGTGACTTGCAGTGCCATCTTCTGGCAAAGAACAGAAACACTTCCAAGCTAGGCACAAAGTACTTCTTAAACACCAGGAAAGTAAAAACTGGCATGAGACCCCCAGAGAAGAGTGTGTGTGTGTGTATGTGTGTGTGTGTGAGATGGGGGAAGGTCTAGGGAAAAGGAGATAGATTTCTTTGAAGCAAAGATCTGAATTATTTGACCCCTGAATCATTTGTTTTGTTTTGTTTTGTTTTTTTCCTGAATCATTTTTTTTGTCAATGTCTGTGTTCTTTCCACCGTGGTTATATACAACACGTGAAAATACAGGCACAATGCCAGAGGACAACCAAGATACCCTACAAATTACTATCCTCCTTCACCTTCAAATTTAAACTGGCCAGTATCTCGAGGTTACTCTAGGTAAGGCAACCTAATAGCCTACAGCCTAGTAATAGGGCTCCTCGGGATGACACAAGTATTTCATTTCAGGAGAAGCTATGTATTGTTGCAAGTCCTGCCGTGAGGTTACTTACAAGAATACTATATATACACGGCCAAACCCTTCAACGTACAATTTATACACAGTAGGTGTAAAGGCATAGAAAACCGTCTTTGTATTTTAAAATGTCAAGTCTTAAAGATACTTCCTTGCTGTATGCATCCAAAATGTATTTGGAAAAGGCTTGATTTTTAAAACAAAATTACTTTTTAAAACCGGGTATCAAGTAGTGAGATCTCAAGGTTAAAAAAAAATCCCTTTGTGCAATATGTATAGGAAAATTTTATAATATGCATACTCCAAGTTAGTTTCTATTCGCGAATTCTCCCCCCCCATCTCTGCTTTCCTGTACCCTTTTCATCATTTTCCAAGTCCTCTCTCCTCCTTCCAAGTGCCCTCTCTACCGCTCCAAACCCCGCACCCAGGGGCGCCGCAGCCCCTCCCACCCACCTCCGCCTCGCTCCGACTCCCGCGTGCTGACGTCACACGTCCGCGCCGGTGACGCGCCAGCCGCTCCCCCTCCTTCTGCACTCGCTCAGGCTTTGGGGCGCCAGGGTGTGTGCAGTCCCAGTCTGGAAATCGTGAACAGTTGTTCCCCTGTCCTGGAATCTAAAGGCGCTGTTGCGGGGCAGGAGGACGTGGCACTCAGGTAGTCTCCCAGTCCCCAGCGCTACCCGTCCCCACCCTCCAAGGCCACTGGGGACGAACTCTGTGGGGTTGGAGAGGTGGTAACCGAGGCACTCCCCCTGCTGCCTTCCGCCGTTTCCAAGGGGGAGGGGGATAGAAACCAGTTTGTTTCCTCCCGGCAATGTGGCTTTGCCTTACGGGCGTTGTACGAGGCAGGACGGAGTCTAGCCTGAGATGTTAGTCAGAGACGGGTGGCAGGTGTAGGAATCTCTTGCTCCCATTCAGTCTGGGCTGTGAGCTGCTGCTGTTTAGACAGACTTCGTTTCTCTTTCAGGATGTCATTTTCGAAATGTAGGATGGTGCCTCTGGCTTGTTAGGACCCACAGGAAGACCACCACATCTAGACCAATGCTTATTGGTTATCACCTCTATTCCTACTAAAGACCTGTGTCATTGAGGTGAGTTATGCTTGGGAAGCAATGACATGCAAAATAGTAAAATCATACTGGAAACGAGACCTGTTTAGATTTGTTTATATAGAAATTGCATGGATACTCACCTTAAGTGTGTAGAAAATACTTTCATCTCACTAAAACGCTATTTGTCTAAAGAGCTGTATATATTTCAAAGCAATCCTCGGACATTTTTAAGAGCTAGAGTAACAGTGGAATTAAAATGGTAATAGAGATCTTCTTCTGGATAAGCATAAATTGCTTAGAGGTCTCCTGCCTTAAATTACTTGTATTTCCATTAGGAAGAGAAAATGAATAGCAGTTAACTGGTTATTCTGCAATCTGATTCTTGATTTGATAGTTTTCATGTGTAAGGTAGTATAAGGTCTACTTTAAGAGTTCATCATAACTTTTTTTTTTTTGGTACTGGGACTCGAACTCCAGACCTTGCTCTTTCGAGGGGGTGGTGTTGGTCCTAAGGATTGAGCTCATCCATGCTAGACAAGTGCTCTACCTCTGGACTGTCCTCCTGCCCCAGATAACTTTTTTATACAGGCTTTTAAAATAAGTTATGTGATAAAATTTGCTCCAAAAAGGAGAACATTTCTTTCACTGCCAGGGTAAATTGTATCAGAAATATTTATGAAGGATTGAAAGTAGTATCCAATCCAAGCTAATAATGGCTTTTTCTTATGATGCAGCAAATTGTAGATACGATGGAGGGGAGCCAAATACGAAGAGAAGTGGTTCTTTGTTCCTAGTTTAGAGTGGTCTGGTGTTAGATCTACAGATTGAGTTCATTTAAAATTGCCTGTTCTATTTTGTGGGAAAACATGTTTTTGCATAGTAAAAGTCACTATAGAGATATTTAGTAAAGGTTATGGAACTTGCCCATAGGAGTTCTTTTGAGTTCATGTTAATAATACATTGACACTGTATTACAAGTAAATTTTCCTTTTGTCTAATCTTATGCCTTCTAGTCCAAGTCATGAACATGACACTTTATCATGAATATAAAGTCTTTATTTGCATGTTGATAGTTTCCGCTACAGAACCTCTGAATGTTGTTTGAATAAACTTGCAGAGAAGAAAATTAATCCCATTTTTGTTTTCTGCTTTTTGAGTAATTACAAATAAAGAAGATAAATTGACCCACTCTCATAATTCAAATTTGTGCTTATTGTTTTGGGAGAATTGTATGTATGACCTGTGGTTGTAGACAATACCAAAAAACTTGTGTTGCCATTACTTTACTAATGTTTCAAGACAACCTGTCCCTCAAATATCTAGAACAGCTGATGAGGACTGAATGCCTATCAGCATGTGTTCCAGATTAAGGAGGGTACAGCTTTTCATTCATATATGCTAACGTTTTTCATATGTGGTACACAGAATTTTATTATTACGTCAAACATTGCTTACTTGTGACTTTAAAGAAATTGTCAGAAAAACGGCAGGAAAGATATCTAATTTTACTAGAGGCTGAGATAGTGTTTTCTGAAATATAGTTCATACTTGAAAAGAAGCTTACTGCCATAGAAAAAACTTTAAATGTCAAGGTGGGCAGTATGGAAATGGAAAATTGTCCAAGGATTTAAATAGGGGAAATTGATTTAGCTAGTGTTCCTCATACTTCTATCAGCATTTTAATTGTTTTCTTAAATTTTAATTTTATTTATTTTTTATTTATTTTTTGAAACAGGGTCTTGCAATGTATTTCAGACTGGACTTACACTCACTATGTAGTCCAGCTGGCCTTGACCTTGCTGCGATGCTCCTGCCTCAGCTTCCCAAGTGCTGGGAATACAGGCGTGTGCTATCACATCAAGCTATTGTGGTGTGCTAGTGTGTTTTGATTATCTAATATATTTAGATGGTTCAAAATTTTAAAAGTATAAGAGATTGAAAAAACTTCCTCTCAACTACTCATTTCTTTTCTTTGGAGGCAGTCAGTATTACTAGTTTATTGTGTATTCTTGCAGAAGTATTATAGAGGTACTTTTGCCAGACACTTCTGTTTGCAAACCAAATTGTTTGCAAACAAAAGTATTCATGAACCAAGGTACCACTTTACTTACACATGGGATTGTGTGTATATATATATACAAATACATGCGTACATAAGTAAATGTAAATATAGGTATTAACATATATATTTCTTTTTATTACACAAATAATAGTAAAGTCATCCCCCTTTATCTAGAGTTTCATTTATCTGAGGGAAATTTCAAAAATTAAAACTCCTAAATTTTAAATCATATACCATTCTGAGTAGAATGAGCTATTTTATTTGGGACATGAATCATCCCTTTGTACAGCATAAGCACACTCCAAATGTACTACCTGCCCGTCACTTAGTGGCTTTACAGATTGTCAGGTTGCTTGTCACATTATAGCAGTGTTAATGTTTGGGTAATCTTTATTTTACTTAATGGCCCCAAAGTGCAAGAGAAGTAATACTTGCAATTTGATATGCCAAAGAGAAGCTATAAATCGCTGCTTTAAAAATGTAACAGTGCACTAGGCATCTTTAGAGAGATCACATAGCTTTTATTACAGTATATTGTTATAATCATTCTACTTTGTTATTCTTAATGTTATGTTGTACTTATAAATTAAACATTATCATACATATGTATAGGAGAAAATATAGTATATGTGGGATCTGGTGCTATCTGTGGTTTCTGACATTCATTGGGGATCTTGAAACGTGTCCCCCATAGGGGAGGGAAGATATTGTATACTACATTTATTTTAATCCTTTAAAAATCTAATACTTACTTAGAAATTAATCCACTCCAATATAAATGCTTCTTTTATTGTTTATGGATATTTAAGTTTGCCATTGGAAATAGTGCTGCAGAGGATAACTTTGTACATGTGTCATTTTCAGTACATTTGGGAGTTTTTGTTTTGATTTGTTTTGGGGGGGCTAGGGACTGAACTTAGAGCCTTAGCACTGAGCTACTCCCTAGTCTTTTTTCTTTTTTTTCTAGCCTTTTTAAAATTTTTATTTTGAGACAGGGTCTAAGTTGCTGAATTACTCAGGCTGGGCTCAAATTTGGGATCCTCCTTCCTCATCCTCCCAGAGTGCTAGGGTGACAGACATTTGTCACCATACCCAGCTACTTTTGGAAATAGTTATAAAGTTAATTCCTGGAAATGGAATCACTGAATCAAAGTGTCTGTGTTTTGTTAGATATTGCTAAATTGTTTTACTTAGTATTGGAGCCAGTTTAAACTGCCACCATATTGTTTCTTTATATACCCCTCCGAAACAGTACAATAATAAAGTTTCTGAATTTTGTCACTCTAAGGGTTTAAAAAATGCTATCTCTTATAATTTTTTCTTATTATAGTAAATTATATATAGCATAAAAGTTATATCTTCCACTGAAAAAATTCTATTTCTCTTTATAGGAGATTGGATACCTTTGCACATTTTAACATTATTCACATTCCTTTTCATTGTCTTTTTTTTTTTTTTCTTTTTCCCTTTGGTACTGGGGATTGTACCTAGGACCTTCACATTGTGCTACATCCCCAGCCCTTTTTTTTTCAAATTTTTTGATACAAGGTCTTGCTAAGTTACACAGTTGCCCAGTTTGGGCTCAAACTTGCAATTCTCCTGCCTTGGCCTCTCAAAATGCTGGGATTATATGCATGGGACATCCTGCCCAGCTTGTTAACTTAACTTTATATTCTTTGTTCATTTTTCTGTTCGATTCATTTTTATTTCCAGTGAATACATTTTCATTAGAAAAATGAGCCTTTGGTGATGTGAAAAAATGTGAATTGTCGTTTGAATTTGACTTATGCTAATAATCTATGCTATGTAGAATTTTTTGTAGTCGTATTGATGCCTGAAGGTTCTTTTATTTATTTATTTATTTATTTTATTTATTTTTTTTGGTACTGGGGATCAAACTTGCAACCCTTCTTTTATTTGTGGCATATTTAAGCTACCCATTCTATGATTATAAAAATCATTCTATGTTTTGTTTTATTAGTACTGTGGTTTTATTTTTTACATTTGAATATTTTATCAACTAGAATTTAGGTTGATATACATGAAGAAGTATGCCTAGCGTCATACCTCATGGCTATCTATTAGCTGTTTTTTTTGAACTATTCATTTCAATATCCATGCTTTCCCTACTGATTTAAAATGTCACCCTGATTACTCACCAGGTTTTAAAAATTTTTTGATTTCTGGACTTTTCTGTGATATGATTGTTTATCTCATAATTATTACAGATTTTAATGTTTTGGTATCATCTAGAACAAATTTACTTTTATTGCCCTTCTTTTACAGTATTTCTTGGCTGCTTTCATTTTTGCTTCTTCCTTCTTCCTATTTCCTTCTCCTCCTCCTCTTCCTCTTCTTCCTCTTCCTCCTCTTCCTCTTCTTCCTTCTTCTCCTCTTCCTCGTTTTTTTTTGTTGTTGTTTTTTGTTTTGAGACAGGGTCTCAGTATGTAGTTCAGACCTGCCTGGAGCTCATTACCTAGCTCAGGTTGCCTTGAACATGTGATCCTCCTGCCTTAGATGTCTCGGTGCTGGAATTACAGGCATGCCTCATTGCACCTGGCTGTTCTTGCTTTTTTTTTTTTTCTTGTATAAATTTTAAAGTCAGCTTGTCTAATCATATCCACCCCCAATGCTGTGTTTTTATTAGCATAGCATTAAATATAGAGATTAAGAATTAAAATCTTTATGATATTTCTCTTCTTTTCCTTGGTATTTTTTTTGAATTCTATTTTTTCCCCTTCTGTTCATTTGGGTGAATATTTTCTTTTGATCTATTTTCCAAGTTAGTAATACTGTCTTTCACCATGCCCTATTTTCTATAATATCTGTGAATAAGTTCTTAATTTCAAATATTTTATATTTTAGTTCTAGAATGGCCACTTTTACACATAAATTTCAATTCTTTGTGGAAATTCTTCATCTTTTACAAATATCCCTTTTGTGCATCTTTTCCTCTTTTTTCAAGTACCATACTAATCATGGTTAAAGTCCATTTGATGACTTCATATTTCAGTTATTTGTAAGTCTTCCTACTATTTTTTTAGATGCCTCATTTTTTTTCATTAAGTTTATTGGTACATTTTAGATGTACAACAGTTACATTCATCATTGGGAACTTGTACCTTTACATGCTATATCTCGGTTCTTATTTTCTACCCATTCCCCTGCCCTCCCTTCAACCCCTCCACTCCTCCCTGTTTATAAAGACTTTGTTTCCATTTTTTGCTTTTCTCATATTTTTTCCTTTCCCTTCTTTCCTTTCCCCTACCCCTCCCACTTCCCCTACTCCTTTAGACCTTTTCTTCTCACTTCACAATAACATTTATACATTTTGATTCTTATTTACACTTTTAGTTTCTCACACCAGAGAAAATATTTGGTATTTACACATGTGTGTTTTATTTATTTCACTTAAGAATATGGCCTCAATGTGCATCCATTTAGCTATAAATGTCTCTAGTTTCTCATTCTTTATGGCTGAGTACTACTCCATTTTATTAAAAAACCCACATCTTTATCCAGTCTCCATTTGATGGGCAATTGGGCTGTTTCCAAGTTTTAGCTATTACAAACTGTGCCGCTATAAACATGGGTGTGCATGTATCACTGTGGTATGATTCTTTTAATTCTTTTGGGAAGATGCCCAGCAGGGGAATAGCTGGGTCAAATGGGACTTCTAATCCTAGTTGTTTGAGATATCTCTGTATTGATTTCCACAGTGGTTGCACCAGTCTGCACGCCCACCAACAACAGAGAAGGGTTCTTTTCTCCCCGCCCCCTGCCAGCATTTGTTATTGGTTGATTTATTGATAGCAGCCATTCTTCCTGGGGTGAGGTGGAATCTCAGCGTTGTTTTCTTTTTCAGTTTTTCATTTTTTTGGTACCGGGGATCAAACTCAGGACCTTGTGCTTGTGAGGCAGGCAGCGGAACCACTGAGCTAAATACCTGGCCCTCAGTGTTGTTTTCATCTACGTCTCTCGAATGACCAGTGATGTTGAACATTTTTTCATATGTTTATTTGCTGCTTTTACTTCTTTGTCTGAGAAATGTCTGTTCATTTCAGATGCCCATTTTTGAACTGGGTCTTTGAATTGGGGGGCCTGATTTCTTTCAATTCTTTATATATTCTAGATAGTAGTCCTTTGTCTGAGGAACAACTGATAAAAATTTTTTCCCACATTGTAGGTTGTCTCTTAGCTCTGTTGGTGGTTTCTCTTGTAGTGCAGAAGCTTTTTAATATGATGAGATCCCAGTTGTTGATTCTTTGTGCTAGTTCCCATGCTACTGAGGATTTGTTCATAAAGTCTTTTCCTATGCCAATGTCTTCAAAAGTTCTACCTAACTTACCTTCCAGCAAGTTTAGTGTTTCTGTTTTACCATTTAGATATTTAATCCACTTCGATTTTAGTTTAGTGCATGGTGAAAGATAGGGGGATGCCTCATAATTTTTGATTGTATGCTTGATGTAAATGAAAAGCTATAGGAACTCTCGATCATGTATCTTAATGAAAGCTGTCAGTTTTGCTTTGTCAGAAACGTTGTTCCGATCATTGGTTACTTTCAGGCTTTGTTAGTATACATGTACAGCTTAGAAATGGACTGACAGGAATGGAATTTATTTACAGACTTTTGAGCTTCTATTCTTTTTCCTCCTCTTCAGGACTTTCATAGACCTGAACAATGAATTCTTTCTTTCCTCAGCCCCAAGACTGCTACTTTATTCTTGAGCTCTACTGTACTGTGGCATTTGGAAAATGTTTTCAGGGAAAAGGCTCGGATGAATATAAAATCTCATATGTTCCCACCTCTCAATGATTATAGCCCCTTAATTCCTGACTGTTATTATATATATTTACTTAGGTTTTAAATTTTTTAGGGGGGGTGGAATTGTCTGATATTAACTGTACCATTATGATCACAATGGAGACTCATCATTTATTGTATGAACTTTTGCTTAATCTTGCAAGTCATAGATGGTGTTTCCAATTCTCACCTCTGCCTGGTATAGCCAGTATTCTGTCAAGGTGGGAAAGGGGCAGTTACCTAACTGGGAGATTCAAAGCAAACAAATTATATGTTTGACTGCTTCATAACAGGCTTCGGCCATGTTTGTCTATCATTCCTGCTCTTTGTGCAATTCTAATCAGTATTGAAGCTTTTGATTTTATAATCTACTTTTTTCTTCTTGAATTACAGACTGTTGGTATTGGTAATGGTGTTAAGATCTCATGTTTAAATTTTAGTGTTCTTAGATGTAGAAATTGAAGCTTAGACAAATAGGGGGTTAGCTTTTGGTTATGTAACTGTTTTTTTCCCCCTTGATTCTGAATTCATCACTTTGTTATGTCATTTCTTTGGAAATCTCCAGTATAGATAAACCTCTAATTTTGTGTTTTTTGAATATCCTGAATACTAGATATGTATTGCAGAGATTAAGTTGATACACTTGTAATTGTTAGAGACTTTAAGAATACTGTAGACTCAAGTTGGTTTATGATTTTTCATTTGATGTTGGAAAAATTTACAAATGTTTATAATTTAGTTTATTACAATAATAAAATCAGATCAGGTTTCTTATGTTATTTAGTTTGCATGTTATAATGTTTTTAAATGTGGCTAGTATATTTTATTATCTTTTATTTCTTTTGATTTGAAATTTTTTTCTAGAATTACAGTTCAGTTGAGAAGTTTCACAGATGTGAAATAAGGAGTTCAGTTAAATATGTTACAAACACTGAAAGTAACCTGTTATTTTTCATGTTTTCCCTTTTACTTTCATGTACATTGATGTAAAAAGGGGACCTTATCAGTTGTTGAAACTCATCTATTGCAAGACCTTCATTATTTGGAAAAGTGTCTGGCTTCACATTATTTCATGGCAGTTGGACTTATCTTTAATACCAGGCGCAGTAGTTTCTCTTCTGTTTTACTGATTCAGTCAGAACCTTAATGCTCAGCAGTGTGGTTGGCAGTATAGTACAGTACTAGAGACTCTTAAAGCTTCCATCTTGTTACTGTAATCCCTAGAAAGGAATTGGCAGCTATATTTTCAGGAAGGGCCAAATTGACTAATTTTATTTTCCCTCTGTTGGCAAAAAGTCACAGAGTAATGAGGATTATGAAATAATCTCATCATGTGGTTATTATTTAATGTAATTTATCTTACGAAATTTAGTTTCCTAAGATGAGTCTATCATGTCTTTTTTTTCTAAATAGCATGGTAATGTAATATATTGAGCTTTCAAGTACTGGAGAGATCATTAAATTTTGGCCATTTCCCAGATACCATTATATTCTGCCAGTTGATTCCACTTGGGCTTGCTATATTTAGAATGACTTTTCCTTTTTAACTCATACTGATGCTTTAGTGCTATAATTTTTTTTTCTTGTTTCTCTGAAAGTTGCTAAATGCATCCTGGTTTCCTGTAGAAATTTTGAATAAAATTTTGTTATAATGTTTTGTAAGGTAGAGGAAAGTACTTTCTCATAAAATTTCATAAAGTGTAATTACTTCATTGATTTTGCTACAAGCCTTTAGTTTTGCAGGCCCAGAATATGGATTTTGTCATTTAAGGAGATCAAATCTTTCTTTCTTAGAAGCCAAATAAAATTAAACAAATTTAGCATTGATGGATGAAATGAGAACCTCAGTTTATAAATTTATAGAGAAAAATATGGTGTAGTGTCACAGAGATTTTAAAATACTTTCCTGACAGCTTATTTTCTCCTAGAAAGGGGTCATACATTGGAAACTTGTTTGCTGTGAATGGAAATACAAATATTAAATTGGGTGAATTAAATGTTGATTAGTTTCAGATTAACATAGTGTATTTATGTATATCCACATTAATGATCTTGTCAGTAGGCTGTGTTGATTATTGCTTTTATGACTTTTTCTTTATTTCTATCTTTTTTTAAAGCTTTCACTACCACATTACTGTACTCTGGTGTCTTATGAAATTACCACTGTCTTGAGATTGCTGTTGCCAAAGCTACTAATGACCTCAATCAATTAACCTGGCATGGTTTTTGAATTAAACATTAAATTGTTAAGGAAAACTTGCTTTAACTCTTTTTAACTATCACTTTTTTTCTTATGTCTAGCATACCTATAAAAATGCCTTAGAAAAAGAAGCATGGAGAAGTATGTTAGGCTACAAAAGATTGGAGAAGGTTCATTTGGAAAAGCCATTCTTGTTAAATCTACAGAGGATGGCAGACAATATGTTATCAAGGAAATTAACATCTCAGGAGTAAGTATATTTTTAGTTTGGTTACACAAGTAATACCAAGTTTCCCCAAAAATAAGACCTGCAAATGAGCCCCAAGCTCAGGGAATGTCTCTTCTAAAATCATCCTATAACTTGTTTTCCAGTTAGGTCTTATTTTCAAGGAAACAGGATAATTTGACTACACTGGGGCTTATTGTTAAAGGACTTGAAAAATAAAACAGTGTCTAACAAAAGTGAAAAACTGTCATTATCCCAAAGCATACTGCTAATTTCAGAGTAGTCTGTATAGCCTTTCAGATCTTTTGTGATATGTGCTTATGGTTTTGTGGTTAGAAAAATATAAAACCACCTGTCTTCTAACTTAATTTAGTTTGGATGTGTTAAAATGTTTTTCCTCAGAGATTTACTCGTTCTTTTTAACTTCTTGCTGTATTTTATTGATTAGACTGTACTAGTACCTTTTTTTAAAAATTACTTTTTTCCTGATAGACTTTTATCTTTTATTTTGGTGTCTTAATTCACTCATTTTTTTCCCTCCCACTTAAGATGTCCAGTAAAGAAAGAGAAGAATCAAGGAGAGAAGTTGCAGTGTTGGCAAACATGAAGCATCCAAATATTGTCCAGTATAGAGAATCATTTGAAGGTCAGATCAATTTTGTAAGAGTTCAAAATAAGTCCTAAGGGCCGGGGATTTAGCTCATTGCTTCTGCTGCCTGCCTTGCAAGCACAGGGTCCCAAGTTCGATCCCCAGTACCCAAAACAAAACAAAATAAGTCCTAAGCCATTGATAACTTATGGGTATTTTCCTTGTAAAGATTATTTTATGAATATATTCTCAGGAAAAAAGATACCATTTTTGCTTCAATATATGTGCATATAAAGATCAACTTGATTCTAGGATAATACTATACTGATACCACATTGTCTCTGTGTAGTTTAATACTGACTTGTTTTATTAATGATTGTTTAAAAAGAAGCAAGATAGGGCCGGGGATTTAGCTCAGTGGTTTTGCCTCCTGCTGCACAAGTGCAAGGACCCAAGTTCGATCCCTGGTACCCAAAAATAAAAATAAAGCAGGTTAGTAAATACAAGAATTTGGACAAAGCAAGAACAGTAATTAACCTATTAGAAATTTTATTAGTACATGTTTATAGTACATAGAGTTTACAGTCTTCTTGAGGAGTGGATATATGTACATACTACAGCTTACTTCTTTTTTTTTTTTTTTTGGTACCAGGGATCAAACTCAGCTTACTTCTTTTTTTTAAATTCCCTTCCCATTTCCTCTTCCCTGTCTTCCTCCTCCTCTGTTTCTCCTATCATGATTTTCATTCTTGTTGATATTATTAATCTTAGCTCATGTTATTCCATATAATGTTTACATTCATTGAGGTTATTAGGTTTCTAGTAATTAACCTATTTTTAAACTAAACTCCTTTTAAGTACTGCCATTTCTACCACTCATAAAGTATTCTGATTTTTAGAAAGTACTTTTCACATTAGTATGTTCCTCTACACCTCATTATTACAGTATTGAAATGTATTGAAAATTTTCTCAATTTCTTGAGCTATAATTATTGTTTTGGAACTACTATATCATGTGATCAAAATATACTGTGGATGTTTAAATTTAAAAAATATATTACAATAAAAGTCACATTGTCACTAACTCCCCTCAGTCTGGTCCCTGTCACTTTGAACACACCCTGTTGTTACCACTTTCCAAATCAGTTCTGGAAGTCACCTTTCCTATGTTTATGAGGTGTGACCATAAAGTGAATACTGATGCTAAGTGCCATCCAGTGGAAAGCCAGGCTTATAAAAATATCATGATGTGTCCTCATCTACCTTAGACACAGAATCTGACACTGTGTAACTTCTGGCTGTTTTCCAAAGTCAAAATGACCAAGAAAAGTAAATGTTCTGAATTAATTGAGGACATTGAGTAGCCATGACAGTGCAACTAGAGATATTCATGAAAGTATTTCCAAACTACAGTGCTTCAACAAGTGGCTAGAACTATAGTACTTCCAGAAGTGGCCAGAATAATGGAGCAAGTGTGTTCAAAGGGAGAGGGAGTCTCTTGAAGGGGTACTGAAATACATTTTTAAAAACTTGAACATTCACCTTTTCAGTCACACTTTGTATATACCATTATATTTGATAATGAAGGAGCTAAAATAAGACAAAACTACTCTAAAGGCAATTCAAGGTGGCTTATTGAAGTTTTTCCAAAATATCATTCACATTACTATCATAAATCCTTGTAAATTACAAAACAGAAAGATAATCTGGATTGAAAGTAAAGCATAGTTAAAATGACATAACATATACCAGTTTCAGAGTCTGAATTAGCGCCCAAATAACTTTGTTCCCAGATGAGCTAAGCATCTACTGAAGTAAAAATATATGATTTAATTAACACAATATGTACTCAGTTTATTGTTTTTGTGTAGTGGAAGCAAAATGAAGAGTTCTGTCATGTGTGATAGAACATGTGTGATAGCATAGTGTTAACCAACTCTTCTCAAAACCTTGACTGCCCTTTATCTTTTCTCCCACATCTATCTTTTAGTCTTTTTTCTTTCATTGCCATTATTTTAACATTTCAAGTTAAAGGGTTTGGAATGTATATTAACAGATACTTTGTATTTATGTTGGCTTTCACATAGAAACATGAATGACTAAGAAAGGGAGTGCATATTCCTTAGTTTCATTATTACTGTAATTTAATTTTAAGGGAATACATGCTCATGATAAATGTATTCATAAGTATAGACATGAATAACTAAAACTTAACTTCTCTGTTTCTCTGACTCCACTCCATTCCTACTTCTTAGGAGTAAGCATTGTTAAAAATTCAGTGTTTATTCTTTACTATATTTTCTGTGTCCATGTGAAACACTGTGTTAAGAAAAAGAAAGTACCTTGTTTTTTGCTCTGGTCTTGCACCATAATTAAGATAGAAGACTTTGTGACTTCAAAAGGTGTGGGAATTTTGCCAGCAGCTGGCCAACAGTCCCTCACTGGATAATATCAGTTTATACAGATTGCGGGTTCAGTCCCTAAGACTGTCCCCACTTCAGAACTACCAAAAAATATTAGTACGTTCAATCGTAATTAGGAAAGAAGACTCAGTTTTGGATGCTTCAGGGATCCTGAGGCAGAATTAGTTTTAAAAAGAGGCATAAAAGAAATTTAATATTGAAGTCATGATTGTAGGTATTAGACTCATTGTAAGTAACTCTTCTAATGTTGCTTTAAAGGGAGTATAGCATTCTCACATATATCCCACTAGAGTGCTTTTTATTTTATTTTTTATTTTTTTGTGATGCTGGAGATTGAACCCAGGCCTAGTACATACTAAGCACAGTGTGTACTCTACCATTGAGCTATACCATCAATTCCTAGAGTGATTTATTTAAAATCCCAATTAATATGCATATGGAAATTAATTCATGGGCACAAATTGCAGTGCCAACAAAAACAGATTAAAAAGTGCTTCCAATTATAAGATCAAAATTCCACCGTAATTAAGATAGGTGCACCTGTAATCCTAGCTACCCTGAAGCGTGAGGCAAGAGGATCACAGGTTTCAAGCCAGCCTGCAAACTTAACCAGACAGTGGTCAAAAATAAAATCAAAAGGGCCGAGGATGTAGCTCAGTGGTAGAGCATTTGACAAACATGTACAAGATGTGCAAGACCTTGGATTCATCCCGAGTGCTGAAAAAGATGCTGTTTTTCAGATAACTTAAATGAAGATCATATGTATTGGAGAAACTGATAGATGACTGAGTAAAAGATATTGATTTGAAGATACATTTGAATAGTGTTGATAAAATTATTTCATACAACTTGAGAGTGATAAGAAAATATATTTTTATATATAAAGTATAAATATAATTAGATTATATTGTTAAATATTATAATTAGAAATTTGACTGTTTTGTTTATCCCTAATAATTTATAAATGCATATGGATAAAAATTGTGACTCTATAATTGGGAAAATGGGTGTTTGCCTTGTGTAACCAAATATTTGGGTGTGTGGACGATTATTCATGTATCATTTTCTGCTTTTGATTGTCTGTGCCTGTCATCTTTTAATTGTTTCCTTTTTTGTGTTTTTTTTCCCTCTTTGAATTTTTTTTACTCTTTTATACCTTTAGTGGAGGTGTTTCAATCTCATAGATTGAGATAGAGGTTGGTATTCTCTTTGTTCACATTGCTTCTGCCAAAATCTAACTACTTACTTGAATAAAAGTTTCTCATAGGGGTTAAATTTGGGTTGCTTTTGGCTGCAAGTAACAGAAAACTGACCAATATTGGCTTAAGTGAGAAAGATATTTAATTGTCTCACCTAACAGGAAGTGTTACGATAAGCAGATCTGTAATAGCATATATGGCAGCTCAGTAATGTTACCATAATCTAGACTTTTGTGTCATTCTTCTTTGTCATCCTTAGGATATTTTTGAGCCTAATGTTTTTCATCTTGTTCCAAAATGACTTTTGGAACTCCAAGCACATGTCTGCATCCAAAGCCAAAAAAGGAGAAGTGGTGGTAACAGACTGGTCCCCCCCCCCCCCACCGCCCCGCACTGTACTAGGGATTGAACCCAGGGCTGTGTGCATGCTAAGGCAAGTGCTCATCCCCAGCCCTTTTTATTTATTTATTTTTTCAAGACAAGGTGTTACTAAATTCCCCAGGCTGACCTCAAACCTGTAACCCACCTGCCTTAGTCTTCCTCCCAAGTGCCTGGGATTGCATTACCTCACCTAGCATGAATCTGTTCTTTTAATCAAATAATGTTTTTTCAGAAGTCACCCTTCAGAATTACTTTGATCTTATTGGCCCAATGTGAGCCACATAACTACCTCTAACTGTGGTGAAAAATAAGAATCAGACCATCTCGGTTTTTTCCAGCTTTTAAATTAAGTAGTGAATGGAAAAGAGTGTTAGAATTAGTCAACCAGTGGGCTGGGGATTGGCGCAGTGGTAGACTACTTGCCTTTGCATGAGGCCCTAGGTTTGACACCTCGGACAGGGGGGAAAAAAAAATTTAGTGAGGCGTGGTGGTACAGGCCAGCCTCAGGAGGCTGGGGCAGGAGGATTGCTGTAAGTTCAAGGCTACCCTGGGCTACCTAGTGAGTACAAGACTAGCCTGAACTATATAGTGAGACTTTGTCTCAAAAACCAAACCAAAACCAAACCAAAAACCCCCCAAAGAATTAGCCAATTAGCAGTACATACTTTGCTGAGTGATTATAACATATTCCCATTATTATTTTTCTATTAAACTCTTGATTATTCTCTTACTCTGCATTGAAGCTTTGTAATCTTTAGCTCCAACTTCAAGTAGTTTCTAGGTGGTGGTTATTTTTGTTATTCAGAGAGTCTTTATTTATGTGCTGTATCGCTAGCATCTTGTACAAAGTGTCTGGCAAATAGTGCTAAGCGTCTGGAAGGAAAACAGAGCAGATTAGAACTTCCCTTACAGAGAAAAGATTTTTCTGTTGGCCTTACATTTTAAGTATTTATCTAAAAAATAATAGTAAATATTTAAGCAGCAGAATATGTTACTGAGTTCATGTACTAAAGCTCAAATATTTTGCTCCTAGAATTGCTTCTCTATCCCTTTGTTGGGGCCTGTTTAACTTATCTCCTCTCTCCTCTTTTCTTTCCCTTCCTCCCTCCCTCCCTCCTCTCTGTCTCTGTCTCTGTCTGTCACACACATACACACACATTTTTTTTATCCTTTGATGGTTTTATTTATTTTTTGATAACCTATATATGGTACAAAATTCAAATGTTACAGAACAGTGAAAAGTTTGTCATCTGTTTCTATCTTTTAGACATCTTCGTCCCTTTTTGGGAATTAATCTCTGCAACCATTGTCTTATGTTTGAGAATTAGTCTAAGCATTAATAAGCATATTATGATAAATGATAGCATACTATAATATTTACTTTTTTGTTTCTTATGCTATGTTACTGATAATATTCGATATATAATAAATAATTACATAGTTTTCAGGTTTTTTAAATTATAGTTTTCTACGTATATATTTAGATGACTTTTCCATATCAGTTCCAAAGAGTCCTGCAGAGTTTTAAATTGACTTCATCATCTCAGTTCCTAATCCTAACACTACATTGACAGCAAGGTATTAAAAAAGGTTATGAGAACCACAAACAAGAACACTACCACAAAGTGTAAAAAATAAGTATTGCTAGAAATAAGGCCATGGCATAGATAGTAAGGAAGTAACAAGTAGGAAAACTTTTGAGTTGTGATAGTTTCACTAGTAAGTAGTGGCTCAGTAAATGTTAGAGGTGACATAGGCCACTCTACATTACATGAAAAGAAACAGGAGGTGGAAAACATGATTGTGTTTCTCAGTCTTTCTACCCAGGGGAAGAGCATTAAAGTCCTCTTTCTCTGAACTGAGATAAAAGGTGAATAAGGAATTATGTTACTATGTTAATTCCCCTATTACATACAATTTTAGCAAAGTAAATGAAATAAAGCTCCAGGAGGGTCGTATTTATGTCCTGTCTACTATTGAATCCTCAGAGAACATCACAGCTTTTATTAATCATATTGGCTTAATTAGTAACAGATTTAAGTGGATAAACCAAAACTGAAAATTAATGGTCAGGTGGAAACTAAGATAACTCATCTCTGACAAAGAAATTTTCCTATTGAATAAAATCAGGTGTATCTATTTGCATTTTGTCTATATTCTAGAGATGTTGTGTAGACACCACTCTCTCAATAGGATGGTGTATTCTTGGTAGAAAAAGAATTAATGATGGCGTTGCGTATAACTGAAGTCATTGTAGGCTGGATGTGGTGGCACATACCTGTAATCCCAGCACTTGGGAGGCTGAGGCAGGAGGATCAACCACAAGTTCGAGGCCTGCCTTGGCTGCATAGTGAGTTCAAGGGCAGCCTGACCTACCCAGCAAGACCCTGTCTCCAAAAAACAAACAAACAAACAAACTGAAGTCATTGTAGACTTGTATAAACAGTATACCTTGACTTTGCACCCTAGTGTTTTAAAATTAATTTTATTTTATTTTATCCCATTCCCTCCTAGTTGGTTTAAGTATAGTTCTGTTTTTGTTAACACTGCTTTTTAATAAACTTTTAAGTATCTTTAATTTAGCTGTGCTTTTGATATGCCTTTTACAAACTGAAATACAATATTTATATTTTTAGAAAATGGCTCTCTCTACATAGTGATGGATTACTGTGAAGGAGGAGATCTGTTTAAACGAATAAATGCTCAAAAAGGAGTTTTGTTTCAAGAGGATCAGGTAAGTTAGCATGTAGGAGCTTAACTCCTACCCATTATTGAGAAATAATTTAAAGTGTGTTTATTTAAGTATGTATTTATTTTTAACTACCAATGCTGATAGTGATTATTGGAGGAGTCTGGGATCATATCCAGTGTCTTCATTGGCACCTTTGTTCAATTCATCTTTTTTAGTCTGTAATAATATATTGTTATGTGTGTAATATATGTTGTACCCTGTGTGTATATAACTTAACAACTTAATTGTAACTGGCTAATTATTTTATATACTGTCAATTGGGCTTATACTACCAGAGCATATCTTCCTAAAATGTAGCTTTGCTAGATAACTCCACCTTTGAAGCCTTGTATTGGCAGCTGCATTAAATCTAGTATCTATTTTGATTTCAAGGATGTCTAAAGTACCTTACCTTAGTCTTATTTTTTCTATTATTCCCTAAATCTACATCAATTTTATTTCTCTCTCTCTCTCTCTCTCTCTCTCTCTGTCTCAGTACCTCACATTGTGCATGTAGCATAAGTTTATCAAGCCCTCTTGATGGATGTTTGGTATATTTGCATTTCCAGTCTTTTGTTGTGGTTTGAAATAAAATCATAGTCAAGAACAAAGAAAATCACATTTCTTTGGAGTCAGTTGGGATTCCAATTTGGGATAATTCATTTTAGATTTAATATGTATTCTGTATATTCTGTGTGTCACTTGGTTTGAATATGTACCTAATGTTAGTGTCCATAAAATAAAAAGAAATTATTTTCAACTATTTAGTTTTCCTCAACCTCAAATATTGCTAAATCCTTTTAGCAGTCAAAGAAAGACTTGTAAAATGTAAAGTTTAAAAGATATAATAGATCTAATTTTTTTGCCTAGATTTTGGACTGGTTTGTACAGATATGTTTGGCCCTGAAACATGTACATGATAGAAAAATTCTTCATCGAGATATAAAGTCACAGGTATGTTTATTCTGTCACTAAAAACATAAGTGGATCAGGACATGGAGCTTATATTGATTGGGCTCCACATTTTTGAGCCCAGACCAGGTTGCATAAGATTATCTGTCTTCTCCCATCATTGTTCTGTCTTCACTATAACCTCAGAAATACTCTTCATCTAGGTTCTGTTATATCTCCTGCTTGCTTTTCATATTATCTTCTTTCTTAATTCACTCCTTGTGATGAACCAAATTTAGAAAGTGGATATGTGGAAGGTAGATTTTATTTTTTGAGATTTTTACATGTCTGAAGATGATTTTATTCCACTTTCTCTTATTAATGATAATTTTGATATAAACTTCTAGGTAGGAAATTGTTCTACAAAGCTTTGAAGATATTCTGGCTTTTAGTGTTGCTATTCAGAAATTTAAAGCTATTATGATTCTCTATCCTTGTTTCTTTTCTCTAGAAAATTTTAGGATATTATCTTTTTTTCATTTGTTCTGACATTTCACAATGTTTTTCATTGGTGAGGCTGAGCTTTTTATTATGCTGTGCATTTTTGGTATGGAATCTGTGTTCCTCTGGAAAGGTTTTAAAAAAATGTTTAGCTATATTTTTAAAAATATTGCTTTCTTACTACCTTGTGGTGTTCTAGCTTTTCTTTTCTTTTCTTTCTTTCTTTCTTTCTTTTTTTTGGTACCGGGCATTGAACTCAGGTCCTTGCGCTCGCACAGCAGGCGGCGAAACCACTGAGCTAAATCCCCGGCCCTAGCTTTTCTTTTAGTCATACTTAAAGCTTTTTAATCTATCCCAAGTATTTTCTTTGGTTTTTTTTGGTATGTGGGATCAGACTCAGGACCTTGTGCTTTCGAGGCAGGCACTGGCACCACTGAGCGAAATCCCTGACCTTGTTCTTTCATATTTATCTATCTTTCTCTGTCAAGTTTTAGGTGAATTTCTCAATTCCAGGTGAATTCTTGCCTCAAAATTAACTAATTTCTCCTTTTTTTTTTTTTTTTGCCTCCAAATTAACATCCCCCTTTTTGAGGGATTTAACCTGGACCCTTGAGCTTGCTAGGCAAGTGCTGTACCACTGGGCTCTATCCCAACCTCTAGATCCCTTTTCACTTTTCTGTAATCTAGTGCTTATCCCATCTGTTTACTCTTTCATTATAATAATTATTTTTATTTTTATCTCTAGGGTTTCCAGTTGTTTTTTGTTGGGTTTTTTTTGTATATAGGTATATATCTATTCTCTGTCTGTCTGTTCTCCCCTCCCCTTCCTTTCTTTCTCCTCTCTTTTTTTTCCTTCTTTCTTTTGCTATATTTGGGATTGAGCTCAGGGCCTTGTACCACATGCAGTCTAACACTGGGCTATATCCCCACCCTTTTTATTTATTTTGAGAAGGGATCTCACTGAGTTGCCTAGGCTGATCTTAAGCTTACTAACTTCCTCCCTCAGCCTCCTGTGTAGTTAAGATTTATTGGTATGTGCAGCCATATCTGGCTATCTGTTCTTATTTCTGCTTGGTTTTTATTTTATTATGTGTTGTTCTTTTTAATGGTTATTTTTCCCTTTATCTCTTGGCGATTTTCCTTAGCATATTTAAAGTTTTTGTTCAACTGTTTTATAAAATTAATTCTGTTTGAAGTGAATTCTTGTACTAGTTGTTTTATTGATGAATTCACTTAGCACTAGGTTTTTTCAAATCTCTTGGATTTTTTTTCAGATTTTTTTTGTGGGAAATGTTTTCTTTCTCCATTTTCTTCATCTTTTCATAGAGGTTTCAGATTGCTTCACTTGGCCTTCTCAGCTTCTAGAATGGGCAGTTTCAAATGGGTATAATTTCTTGTATCAAGGCTAAGTTTCTGTCTTCTGAGCTCCTTAGGCCTGCAGATTGTTATATAGCCTTTTAGTTCAGGATAAGTAGTGAGAAGGAGAATTATAGTGACAACTCGATACTCCATCCTTACTGTCCATTAGTCCTCTGAAACCCAATTCTATTTCACTGTATCTTATTCTGTCCAAATCAGCCACTATCATCTTGGCATTGAGCACATTCCTGACTCAATTGTCATGACTAATGTGGAGTTTAGTTCCCCTTACCCACAGACTCCTGGCTTCTGCTGTTGGATAGAGCCTTGGAATTCTGTGTTTATGAATGCAAAGTAGTTGGGTAAATAGTTGGAAACTTTTAAGATTAATTTGTTACATTCAGGCTAGGTAGGATTTTTAGGCAGTTTTTTTCTTGCAGGGCTTGTATTGAGGGATGGTTTCAGACTCATTTTTAAAAACTTTTATTGAGATATATTTTGTATTCCATAAAATTTATTCATTTAAAATGTAGTTTAATGATTTGTATACCCATTACCAGTCACAATTAAGTCTTCTTCCACTTGACAACTAATTTACTGATAACTAATTTACTTTCCTTTTTAAAATTAATTTTATTGGTACAATTTAAATATATGTAATGATCACATTCATCAGAAGTTTATACCTTATAGCTTGATTCCTCTTTTTCTCCCATTCTACTTCCCTCCTTTCAACCTCCCTTCCCCCCTTATTTACAAAAGCTTTGTTTCCATTTTTTTCTTCTTTTATCATTTTTTTCCTTTCCCCCTCCCCCTTTCACAGTTTCCCTTTCCTTTTGAACAGTTTCTTCCTGTGTCATATTATCTACTATACATTCTAGTCCCTATTTAGCCTTTCAGTTTCTTATACTAGACAATGTAATATTTACACATGTCTGATTTATTTCACTTAAGAGTATATCTCAAGTTGCATCCATTTATCTATAAATGTCTCAAGTTTATCTTTCTTTATGGCGGAGTAGTATTCCATTGTATAAAAAAAACCACATCTTTTTATCCATTCATTGATTGATGGGCATTTGGGTTGTATCCAAATTTAGCTATTACATACTGTTTCGCTATAAACATGAGTGTGCATATATCATTGTGGTACGATGCTTTTAATTCTTTTTGGAAGACACCCAACAGGGGGGTAGCAGCAGGGGGGTAGCAGGGTCAAATGGGACCTCTAATCCTAATTTTTTGAGGAATCTCCACACTGGTTTCCATAATGGTTGCACCAGTTTGCCCACTAGCGATGGAGAAGGCTTCCTTTTTCCCCACAGCCTCACCAGCATTTGTTGTTGGTTAGTTTCTTGGTAATAGCCATTCTCTGTGGAGTGAGATGGAATCTCAGCATTGTTTTAATTTGCATCTTTCAGATGACCAGCGATGTTGAACATTTTTTCATATATTTGATTGCTGTTTTTACTTCTTTGTCTGAGAAATGTCTGTTCATTTCAGATGCCCATTTTTGGATTGGGTCTACTTTCTATCTTTATGGATTTGTGGTTTGGACATTCTATTTAAATGGAACTCATACGATATGTGCTTTTTATCTAATTTTAAGTTGAATTGTTTATCTTTTATTGTTGAGTGGTAAGAGTTCTCTGTTTTTTGGATAAAAGTCCCTTTCCAAGATCTGTGATATGCAAATACTTTCTTCTGGTCTCTAGGTTATCTGTTTACTTTCTTAGTGGTGTCATTTGATGCACTAAAGTTTTTGGTCTTGATGAAGTCAATTTATTCTTCTTTTCTTTTTTAATTTTGTTTTTACTTTTGGTATCATATCTAAGAAACCATTGCTTACTCCACAGGCATGAAAATTTCATCCCATTTACTTCTGGGGGTTTTATAGTTTTAGCTCTTATATTTAGGACTGCAATCCATTTTAAATGTGTTTTATGTATGGTATAAGGTAGACGACTACATTTTTTCTTTTGCATGTGGATATCCAGTTATTCCAGCATTATTTTTGAACCAGATTAATTTTTATAAAATATATCATCAACTCAGAAGATGAATGGACTGTAACAGTATTTCTGGATTTTTCTTTCAATTTGTCTTTTACAGAACATATTTCTAACCAAAGATGGGACAGTACAACTTGGAGATTTTGGAATTGCTAGAGTTCTTAATAGGTAACACATCAATTTTAAAGTTTCTTTTGATAAATTTTCAGTGAAATGTCAATCCATGATGATTTATATGTGATAATATATCAAGAGTCTCTGATAATTTTTTATTCTTTTCTAGTACTGTAGAGCTGGCTCGAACTTGCATAGGAACACCATACTACTTGTCACCTGAAATCTGTGAAAACAAGCCTTATAATAATAAAAGGTATTTAAAATGATATTCATTATATGATTTATTTCCTTTAAATATGTATTTTTAGATGTTAACCTTGAGAATAATATTTTAAAAATCAGAAAACACACATGTAAACATATATAAACATTTTTAATATGAGGAGAATTGTATAAAAGCAATTTCAGTTTCTTCCTGAAGGAGCTATAGGAAGAATCACTTTAAGATATAATTGGAAGTAGAGTGCTTTCCTTGGTTTTTCTTTTTGTAACAGTTCTATTGAATTATAGCTAACATTTATTGAACACATACTAAATGCCAGGCACTGTTTGAATGTTTAGTTTACAAAGAACCCAACTTCAGAGAGAGCTAGACTAACTTCTTTGAAATAGCCATACTGGTGCTAACAGATTGTGTGGTGTGTGGGTGGGAACAGCAATCCTGGCATTGAATTCCAGTCACTTGTTATTTCCTGTCTTTCTTTCTGATTGAGAAGTACAACTAAGAAACATTGGTTAGTTTGCTCTTGTAGGTTTCTTTCATATTTAATTTTAGTGAATTGTATTTTTTCATGCCAATTAAAATTGTATTTTCCTTCTGTAATATTTGTAAAAATTATGGTATTTTACAAATAAATAAAGTAATTCGACTTTTACAAGATAAGAATAACTGAAATGTACATGAAATTTTTGTATTTTTAAAAAATATTTTCTTTAATGAAATTTTAAGTAATTGCTTAGGCAACCATTATTTTTCTAATCTCGGACAGCTGCTTTTACCCTTTAGTGATGGTTGAAATTTTGAGTTTTAAAGGAAGTGCTTTATGAAGCACAGATTTTCCCTAAGCATTTCTATGCTGCTTATATTTCCTTTAAATGAAAAAAATTTTAAAGAATATTCTGGTGATAAGAGATTTCTCATTTTTGTCTTTTCTAGTGACATTTGGGCTCTGGGATGTGTCCTTTATGAAATGTGTACACTTAAACATGCAGTAAGTAAAAGTTTCTAAAATATTTTAAAAGTTGTGTCATCTTTCAGATGACCCTTTTATACTAAAAATTTTTCTCTTAAGTCAGTTTTTAAATTTCTCTTATTTTCTAAGTTGATTTACCTTTAATATATATTCACATTATTATCTGCTGTTATACATTCATACTTTTCTCTGAAAAATTATTTCTAATAATAGAAATAAATTTTGGCTTCCTTCCTGGTGACAAATTCATTTACTATGAATTTAATGTTTTTATGTACTTTTTTTTAGTTTCACTTCAGCATGTCCTCTCAAAACATTCAAATTATTTGAGATTGGAACTGAAAATACCTGAAGAACTTTGTTCAACGTATTCATCAAGGGATTTTATTAATTTATTTTTTTTTTTGAGACAGGGTCTCACTATGTAGTTCAGGCTGTACTTGAACACACTCTTTTTTTTGGTATCGGGACTCAAACTCGAGACCTTGTGTTTGTGAGGCAGGTAGCAGAACCACTGAGCTAAATCCCGGGCCCAGGACTTGAACACACACTAGCCCAGGCTGGCCTTGAACTCGCAGCAATCCTCCTGCCTCAGCCTCCCGAGTGCTGAGATTACAGGTGTAAACCACCACACCTGACGATTTTATGAATTTAAATACTCCTTCAAAGTAAATATTATAATATTTACTTTTGAGACTTTTTGAAGTAGCGTAAAACACACCAAAGTTGGAGAGTTCTTGTCCTAAATAGATTAATCACTTTTCATTTCAAAATCTTTTTTAAGTATATTTCCCATACAGATTAAACAGTAGTATATGTTCATTATACAAAATTTCAGAAAGCACACACAAAAATAAAGAAATATATAACTATCATAAGCTATTCTTTCAATCAGTAATGAGTACTGATAATACTTTGTTGTTTCCCTCTAGGCTTTATCCTAGATTAATTTATAAGGTAAATTCTGTGTTTTTTTGCCTAAAAGTTAGATTATTCTTTTGTAAGCAGTTTTTATAATCTCTTTATATTATTTGATATTTTCCAGGGTCTATTTTACTTTGTCATTCTTTTTTTTTTAGTACCACCGGAGATCGAACTCAGGACCTTGTGCTTTTGAGGCAGGCGGTGGCACCACTGAGCTAAATCCGCGGCCCCTTTGTCATTCTTTTTGATGGCTGCATAGACTTCTACTATATTGTCTTAAATTTTCTTTTTCTTTTTTTGAGTAGTGGAGTAGTGGTTTTCAGATATGTATTTGAGAATTTTTTTTTTTTTTTGGTACCGGAGATCGAACTCCGGTCCTTGTGCTTGCGAGGCGGGTGGCGGAACCACTGAGCTAAATCCCCAGCCCCCTCAGATACGTATTTGAAAGAATTGGTCAGTTTTGTTGTGACAGTTTGGACTTTTTAAACCATTGTGTGTTTGTTCAAATCTTTCATATATTTTGATTTTGATTGATTCTGTATTATTTAAAATTAATTTTATTGGTACATTTTAGGTATACAGTATAATGACATTCATCATTGGAAGTTTGCACCTTTACATACTCTATCTTGGTTCTTGTTTTTTTCCCCATTCACCTGCCTTCCCTTCAACTTCTCCTTGATTCTGTATTTTGAAATTGTTTACTCTGAAGAGGACACATGAAACTAAGTGTTTGCCAGCCTTTATTTATAAGAAGAGCTTGTTTGTTGAGAGATAATGGAAAGTTTGCTGGAGAAAAAATTAGAGAATCATATCTTTTCTGTATTTAGGGTTCCTTTTTAGGTATACATACATATCTATGAGATTGAATTTACTTAAATTTTTATAAACTTAAGACATTTAAAATGTGCTAGGAGAGCTTAACATTTAATAGAATTCTCTTATAATTGGTATTGCATTTTGTTTTCTTAATATGTGTATTAACATATCAACATTACACAGTTGTTATTTTAGTAGAGATGCCAAAAGCTTAATTTTGCCTTCTTTCAAAATAAAATGTTCCTTAGATTTTGAACTGCCCCACCTCTGTTTTCTTTTTACTTCAGTTAGAGTTTGTGTTGTGTTTAATCCTAAAATAAATATTCCATTTAGCTTGTATTCCATCTTGGAATGTTTGCCACATTACTAATTCTGTAGCTTTGGAGAACATCATGCACAAAACTCATAATGAACACTGCCTAAGAGGAAGCTAATTCATAGTTTTATTATATTTTGCTCAGTTACCTTGAGTTTTGTACTTAATTTCTTATTGTAGTTATGACAACAGAGACATAGGAAGGCAGGCCTTAAATGAAGACTACTAGGTTGTTATTTTTTTATTCCTTTGTGGTTCCTCCTTTGGCCCTAATTTTTCTACCACTAAGGCATTATTTTACCATCTCCATTATTGTCATGGTTTATCTCATCTCTTAGCACTTTGAATAAGTACGTTACTCTTTAAGTTATAATATTTTATTTTTGAGGAAGAATACCCTGTTTAAAATATATTTACAGATAACCAAGTAAACATTGCTCCAGAGTACATGTGCTGATTATATTATTTTTCTATTATGTATTAATAGAAGTAACACTTTCTCATTGTTGATATTCCCAGTTTCAATTTCAATATGTTTCATGTATGTTGGTTTATTTTCTTGATTTTAGTTTGAAGCTGGCAATATGAAAAATTTGGTACTGAAGATAATATCTGGATCTTTTCCACCTGTATCTATGCATTATTCCTATGATCTCCGCAGTTTGCTTTCTCAGTTATTTAAAAGAAATCCTAGGGATAGACCATCAGTCAACTCCATATTGGAGAAAGGTTTTATAGCCAAACGCATTGAAAAGTTTCTCTCACCTCAGGTATGTTTTTAAAAATTTTGTAAGTAAAATTAAACAGTAGATTTATGGTGTTGCTTAGGACATGCTCTCATCAGATCCTTGGGGAATAGGATACCTTTTTCAAACTATGTTGCCATCATTTTCTTTTACATCTTATTTAACTCTATTTCCTTTCATGTGCTTTCCAGTTTTGCATCACTCCTTTGTCCCTTGGGTTGCTAACTGTAAAATTCCTTAAGCATTTTGTGTTTTACTTTCCTCACCGTTAAGTAGTAGGACTGTAAATGTATCTGTATATTGTGAGGTTATGAGAATTAAAAGTGAATATGCACATAAAATGCTTATTTTTATCATGTAAGTGCTGAAAATATTTCATCTATATTAAATATCTCATACTGTGTATATATCAACATAATTTATATTATAATAATCATATTCTCCTTGATGAAAAATAATTGTTTTGTAGGCATTATATGTATGTGTGGTAGATTATTGACTCTTGATTTTTCCTCTAGTACCTAAATGTTAGTGCTTTTTTTTTTTCTTTGTACTGGGTATCAAACTTGGGTCCTTGCGCTTGTGCAGCAGGCGGCAAAACCACTGAGCTAAATCCCCGGCCAGTGCATAGTATTTTTTGAGTCAAATTAAATTTTAATTTGACAGGTTTTAGAAAACAGTCAATATCAAATGAACTGGCATCAGTTATTCATAAAAATGTGATCATCTGAAATTTAAATTATTTTACTTTTCATATTTAATGTGGATTTTGTTAATTTAAATATAGTAATTATCATTTCTTCTATAAATAAGCTATCTAGGAAAATCATATTTGTATTACCTATATGCTTTTTTTAACTAGGTGGGAAAGGAAAATAAATTTTCCCCTTTTTCAAGAGAAATGAGGCCTGATGGAAAGAATATTCCTATTGTAACAGTGGAGCAAACAACCCACAAGGCAAAAAAACCTTGATCAGAGATGAGCCTTTCCCACTGGGAATCCTGGGTTCTACTAAACCATCTCTGGCTTAACAGAACATCTTTCTGGATACTCTTCAGAAAACAGAGATGTGGATTGAACTATTAATTCTGAAGAATGCATTAGTAAGCAAGAAAGCCAGTTAACATTTGGAGATTAAAGGTTACTTGTATAGAACATAGCAACAACTTCTGAAATGTGGGTGTCTTACAAGACTTCTTTGTTAAATAATATTTGCAAGGACAGTTTTATGTTGTAGTATACTGCTGTTTTTGGCAGCTACTAGAGAAGAAACAATGACTTCATTTAATCTTACTGAAGTTTCTTTTCTTCTATGCAGTTAGTACATACAGTCTAAGGCTGAAGGAATAGAATTCAACTAGTTAGTGATGAAAGGAAAATGTTAAGGACTGCAACACCTATGGGGAAAAAGGGCAGATTGTGATTATTAACAAATAGTTAATAGTTAATAGTTGACATATAATGGAGTATTAAATGTTTATACATTGACCCATCTTGTTAGTTAAGTACCACTTAGGTCTCATTTTTTATGAAAATTTTTGTTTGTTCTTCATATTTTGTTTTCTAATAATGTATCATTTGTTCATTATTCAGATAAGAAGGTTTGTGATCTTTTTTTTTTTTTGAGTCAGGGTCGCATTGTATTGCTCAAGCTAGTCTTGAACTTCTAAGTTCAAATGATCCTCCCTGCTTCAGCCTCCCCAGTGCTGGGATTGTTGGTACATGCAGCATCTGACTAACTGATACATTCTTTTTTCTTTTTTTTTTTTTGGTACTGGGGATTGAACTCAGGACCTTGCTCTTTTCAGGCAGGCATGGAGCCAAATATACATTCCTCAGTCCTATCTGATACATTCTTAAGGCTTTAATTTTCAAACAGTTTATGAATTTTACTGTATGAACTATTGTTTCCAAGTATTGCTATAATGCTGTCTACAATGTTTATTTTTAAAACTTCTCACAGTGCCATTAGCCAAGGTTGATGGCAACTTCTTCCTGGATATGGCTTGACAAATCATAGATAACTTCTAATTAATTAGGAATTAGTAGAGGTGTTCAATAAAACAACTTTGTGATGATGAAAATGTTCCACATACATTGTCCACTATCATAGCCACTAACCACATATGGTTGTTGAGCACTTAAAATATGGCTGATATGGCTGAGAAGTTGAATTTTTAATTATATTGATTATGAGTTTTCATTCTAATATCCACATATGAGTAGTGGCTGTTATCTCAGAGAGTAGACGATAGAGATTCTAGGATCATTTTAAATTCTACATCCGTCATTTTGAAGAGTCTCATTATGTTGTTTATACTGGCCTTGAACCCACTATGTATCCCAGCCTTACCTCAAACTTGGTGCATCCTCCTGCTTCAGTCTTCTGAGTGCTGGGATTATAGGTGTGTGCCACCATGCTGAGCTTCCACACCCCATCTCTTAATTCAGAAGAGCATTTGTAAAGGAGAAAGGACTCATATTCAAACAATGGAAAAAATTATTCAAATTTTGGGGCAAGTGAAATTATAAAACACCCATTTTCTTCCAAGAAAAGGAATATGTTTGTTTAGAAGAGAAAAGACATTAACATACTTCTTCTGAATTGCCTGTAAAGTAGACTTTCACTTACATTTATCCTCTTTTGCAGTGGTTCTCAAAATTTAGCACACATCAAAATCTCCTGGAGAGTTTTTCTAGGCTCTATGACAGTCTTTTACTTCTATAATTCTCAGGTGGAGCTTGATAATTTACATATTTAGTAAGTCCAAGTGATACTGATACTATTGGTTTGAAAATTTGAGAACTACTGCTGTAGGGAATTCTCAGCAGGAAAGATTCATCTTTGATCAAGGTTTTCTGCCTCGTGGGTTGTCTCGTCTACTGTTACTATAGAAATATTCTATCAGGACTCACTTCTCTTGAAAAAAGGTAAAATTCATTTTCTGTTCCCTTTTCCATGCAGTTAGAAGAAAACAAGCTTAACTTGAGTTCAATCTTTCTTGGTAACATAGTTTTGCACTTAAAAAAAATGGAGTAAGGAAAGAAAATTACTTGCAGAAAATATGAATGATTTTTGCTTTTCAAAATATGTTTACAAGTGCTGACAAATAAGTAGTGGAGTCTTTGTAATCATGTTAAAGTACACTTATTAAATTATATAAGTATCTAATAGCATATTGACGGGCATGAGTGCAGACTCATTGGAGATACAGAGGTGATGTACAGTAAAGTTGCAATAACTTCGAGCTTATTTTGAGTGTTTCTTTTGATAGTTAAGTGGTTCTTGAATAGTTTTGAAGTAAATGAGGGCTATAGATGCACAGAGAATGTAAAGATTATCTCAGATAGATACTTTGTTATATTGCTGAGATATGGAACAGCTAAATAGTGTATGGGGGCACAGCTTATTACATTAATTCTAGGGAAAAGTCTGTAGAAGTAATAAAAATAAATTGGTAAAAACAAAAAAGTGATTAATAGTTAGGGTTTTTTTATTTTGAAAGTTTAATCTTTTCTTTTTTTTCCCTCTCTTTTAATCTAAGCTTATTGCAGAAGAATTCTGTCTAAAAACATTTTCAAAGTGTGGAGTACAGCCTATGCCAGGTAAATGAAATGTAACATGAGGCTTTTCATGTGTTTACAATAACCAAACCTAATTATGCTAGAAATTTGTGTAGATAAGAGATAATAAATTGGGATGACTGTAGGCTAAATTTACCCTTGAGGAAATATACTTTAAATTGCATGATATATGGCCATATGTTACAGTTTTTGATAAATTAATAAAATGTCTCCTCCTTGTCTGTTATATTTAAAGAAAATCTGGCTTGAAAGCTGTGTCATATGCTTGACTGGTAACTGAGAACACTACAAAATTTAGGTGTAAATATTTCTGTAAAATATTTTTCTTTGAGAAATACTTTATAGTCTAAAATTTTCTTAAAGTAAATTAATGTGAAGTCAAGTAGTTTATTAAGGATGAGTTTTTTTAAACTATGACCATTGTCAGAATATCTGTAGGAGTATGGATGTGATTATATAATTATTCACACACCTATATCTGTGTTAGAGGGAAACTGTTTTTCCTTGTAGAATGAATTCAGAATGGATTTCTGAAATCATTGGAAGTTATTTAAGATGTGAGAAGTATATTGCTTTTTAAACATAGTGCTTGGCATGTTTTATTCCACTTTGAGTTTGATTAAATTAATAAAAATAAATACCGTACTATAAAAATGAGTCGGTATTCACTGAAAGTGGTGTATGGCATTGTTTTTGCAGGAAGGCCAGCTATATTTAGTCCTCAAAATTTAAAAAATTTTTTGCAGTGCTGGGCATTGAGCTCAAGCCCTCATCCAAGTGCTCTACCAGATAGCTATATGTCTAGCCTCATTTAACCCTTTATAAAGACCTTTAAAGTGCAGAGGCTGTTGCTTTCCAGGAGATTAACTCACTCTATAAACAGAATCCACAGCTGATTGAAGCTGGATGTGGTGGTGCACACCTATAATCTCAGGTAATTGAGAGGGTGAGGCAGGAGATCACAAGTTCAAGGTCAGTCTGGGCAATTTAGCCAGCCCATGTCTTAATATAAAAAAGAAATCCATAGGTTCAACCCTTAGTCCTACAAAAGAGGAAGGAGTTGACACAGCAATAGAGTCAGCATGATCTCCTGGCAGGCAAGCTTTGTAAGAAGTCAAATTTTTTGAAAAAAAAAGTCAAATCTTAATCAAAAGTCTTATTGTCACAAAAGCCAGAAACACCCATTATTAGTACATTCTTTCCGCATGGATAAAGGAATTAGAAAGTTATATAAGAAGAACTAGATGAATGAAATGTTTAATAAATAGTCCAGGGCTAAAACAGAATAGTATTTCTGATAGACTTAATAAATTTCTTTTTATTGTTATTCTTACAAGGTTTTTGTTGTTGTTGTTTTGTTTTTTGGCTTTTTTTGAGACTTGGTAACTCTATAATTCAGGCCGGCTTTCAACTCACTATGTAGTCCAGGCTGATCTCAAACCTACAGCAATCCTCCTGCCTCAGCCTCTTGAGTCCTGGGATTACAGAAGTGTGCATCAAGCCCAGCTAGTAATAAATTTCTTTTAGGTGCCAGCCCCCTGCATTAAACTTCATGCTAGAGTTTAGCTTTGACACAATGCCTGAGAAATACTCAAAATTCAGAAAAATAATTCTTTCTATTCTCTAGAATGTACATGAAAACTGTTCATATCTGTCATTTTTATGATTTTGTACCTTCAGCCCATTTTCTGGCATACACAATATTCATTTACTTGTTTTAATATAATTAGCCAAGTTATAATATTGTGACTTTGTGTATTTATGTTCTAATTTGATCTTATGGTTGAATTCTCTAATTTGATCATGTGATTGAATTTCTTACACGTCCTAGTTTCTGGGTTAGGATGTGTCTGTAGTATGTTTGGAAAACCTTATGACACATTGTATTGCATATCATCAGTTTAAATTGTTTCTGTATCTCTAAAATGTCAACCAAATGGGTGATATTGTTTGTATTTTACATGAGCTTGCTAAATTATATGACTACTGTGTTCATTGTTAAAAAAAAAAGTTTTAAAAAAATTATCCAGATTTTAACACAGCTACATTTGATGTATTTTTTTTCTGTGATGACAGTATGCATGAAGACTTTGAATTGGGATCATGTTATAACCAGTTATATTTTTAATTCACACTATTATAAGATGTTTTCTAATATACTTAAATTTTCTTGGATATGAATTTAATGATAATATTTCATTATGAACTACCAGGTAAATTTTTTTCTCCTTTCCCCTCCTAAAAAGGAAGAATAGTGTTTGGAAAAGATTGATTTAACTTGATTTAATACATAAGATCCTGAGCTGGAGAGTGAGCTAGAAGAATAAGAAAGTAAGCTGCTACTCAAGCTGTTGGGGGAGTTTAAGCAAAGAGATTCCCTGGCAAATGTGGAAAATAGTCTTGATATAGATTGCCTTCCAGAAAGTTTGGCTGTTTTATATTTCTATCAGCAGTGTATAAAGTTACCTATTTTGTGGTACCCTTTGCTAACAAATGCTTTAAAATGTTTGTTTTTTAGTAGATCTATAGGTATAGATATCATTCAGACTAAATATGAATGAAAAAATTGCTCAGTGATGGAATTAATGTTTAACAGTTGCTCTGGAATTTTGTTTTGATTTTAAAAGTAATTTCTAAAATATTTTTTAAAATTTATTTTGACAGCTTTATTGATGTATACAATTTATAACTTAGAGTCTACAGTGTGATTTTTTTTGTTTGTTTTTTCCTGGTACCAGGGATTGAACCCAGGACCTTGCTCTTGCAAGGCAGGTGCGGTGCCACTGAGCTAAATCCCCAGCCCTACAATCTGATTTTTTTCAATGTATTCATATACATGTACAATGCAGTCAATTTTAGGGAAGTTTTTTCTTATATGAACAATTTCAGCATCTTAGAGGAGTTGGGTCTTGCTTCTTTCAAAAAATTGCTTCAGTGTAAAAAAGTTATGACACTGATTATATGCTAAGGACTGAATAAGATAATTGATGAAACATTTCAAATACTGTCAATGACTATGAAAACAAAAATGTGCTCTCTTGAAGAATTTTGAGGTAAAGATTTACTATAAAGAACTATTAGGAGAAAATCTTTGTGTCTTGTTGTGTAGTTAAAAGACCAGCTTCTGGACAAAGTTTGGCTTCTGTTGTGCCTGCTCAGAAAATCACAAAGCCTGCTGCTAAATATGGAGTACCTTTAACATATAAGAAACATGGAGATAAAAAATTACCTGAAAAGAAACCACTTCTAAAGCATAAACAGGTATGATCATGTTACAAATTGTGATTAGTAACAAATTCATTTTGACCTTATTTTATTGCAGCTCAGTTATCTTGATATTCATAGAATTGTTTTTAAGGAATATTGATGTTCTCACTTCATCATTTTCCTAAAACTGAGGAGCTTTACAGAAGTCATATGGAAACATTAAGTGGCTATATTAAGTAAGTAGTTGGTGCAATAAAAAGAGTTATAAATGAAATCACTTTTGAACAATTTTCATAGAGCCATTTGGTTTTATGTATGAAAGATGTGAATACCTGTTCTATAGTTGCTAAAATTCTAAGAAAATTTGGTATTTAAGAATTCAGAATGAAATAAGTCAGAATCACTGAGCTGGAAAGAATGTGATCATATAGTTGATTTTGTCATATTTCAGTTGAAAAAAATTAAGGCCTGTAGCATTTAAGTGACATGCCCAAGAACACAGTGTTGGTTGTGGGAAACTTGACATTTTCTTCATGTTAATATTTGCATGCTTTGGTATATGGGACCTATTTTTTCTTAGACTACATGTACACATTCATATATATGTGTAGGGGACAGGGGAAGGGGACGTTACCAGAACCTCTGCAGTTAGTCCTGGTCTCCTGCGAGCCACGGCAGCACACGGCGAATTACAGGAAAGGTAGAAAAATGAGACTGAGAAGAAGCTGAGCTTTGGGTCTGATCAGTGCTGCTCTGGGCAGCAAAGACAAAAGCCCCCAGCTTACCGCACCTTTTATTCAGTACATCGGGAGAAACAAATGTAACAAATGACTTGCAGAGAGTTCAGTAGTTCACATTGGGATAAACAAGGTGTAACGGAAGGCTTGCAGAGAGTTCAGTACATCTCCGGCAAACAAGATGTTAATCAGTCCAAGAACAATGAGGAACTGAGCAGATGTTTGTTCTCCCAGGATGTTTGTTGTCCTGGAGAATCACAGCATCACTGGATCACTGAAGTCTCAGTTGTGACCGGAGGCCAAACTGGAGTTATTCTGTAGCTGGGCTGTAGGCAAGAGAACTAGGCTAACCAAATGATTTATCCCTAGAATTATGTAGCATTGCTCCCAACATATATGTACGGATACTTTTTGGGGGGCCAGTACCAGGGATCGAACTTGGGACCTTGTGCTTGCAAGGCAGGTGGTGGCACCACTGAGCTAAATCCCTGGCCCTTGTATGTACAGATACATAGTTATATACATTGTTATAAGGTGAACTTCATAGTATGGAGAATCAGTCACTGGTTAAAATCGGTCATAAAATTTTTAAAAACAATTACTATAAATTAGTCTTCAAATAAGTTATGTAAGTCAGCATCAAGTCAGGAGACAAAAGTTACTCAATAATTTGAATAGGAAGACCAGTTGTGCCTATAATTTTATCTACTTGAAAGGCTGAGGCAGGAGGATCACAAGTTTAAGGACAGAGTGAGCAATTAGCAAGACCTTGACTCAAAAAATTTGAAAGGGCTGGGGTAGTGTTTGCATAGCATGCAAGAGACTCTGGGTCCAATCCTCAGTACCACAAAATAATAATAATAGAAATAACAATAATAATAATAATGATTGGAACAGGGAAAATTTAATGTAAGTACCATAATTAACTACTTTAATGGAATTAACTTTTAAAGGTATAAAGAGAATGCCAAAGAATATATTTTAGGAATAGCAGATACAAGATACAGCTGTTACTCATAGTCCTGATCCAGAGTAACCAAAGAAGAAACAATTTCTGAGGTTCCCTGACCCTATCCTTAATGCTGACATTAAGACCTTACTGGGTAGAATATGACTTAGCCCACTGGATGGTGTATTTCACTGAGCTGCCACAGTCTGGGTCTGGCAAACAGGAAACTCTCTACCCGTAAACTGATGAAACTCCTTGGGAAACTGCCTGGAGTGTCAGTAAAAGGTACAGAATGGAAAACTATGTGGAGAGCTGTTGAACTCACCAGGAAGTCTTTTGGGTTGTGGGTACAATTAGCTTGGTACTATAAGTTGTTTTTCTTTCTGGTTTTCCTCATATGTCACTGGCTGCTTCTTCTCAGTGGCAAGTTTCTCCTCATCTCCCTCATCTCTAAATGCTAAAGGACCCATTCCTTGGTTATCATCCCCTCTTATTACCCATTCTCACTCTAGTTGACAACATCTAGAAGCTGACTCCCACATTTAAGTCTCCAGCTTAGATTCTGTTATGGTTTAGATTTAAAATGTCCCCCAAAAGTCTTTTGTTCAGAGGTGAGATGTTTGAAAGGTGATTGGCTCATGGAAGTACTATACTTATCAGTGGATTAATCCATGGATGAGTTCATAACTGAATGTGCTCTTAGGAGGTAGGGCCTAGTCAGAAGAGAGGACAGGATTTAGAAGGGTATATTTTGTCCCTGGCTCCTTCCTCTCTGTCCTTCCTAGCTGTTAAAGGCTAAGCAGCTCTCTTCTGCCATCCCCTTCACCATGTTATTTCTGCCATGGAGCCAGCTGACTAGAAACTGTAACCCAAATAAGTCTCTCCTCCTTTAAGTTATGGATGTTAGGTATTTTGCCCCAGTGTCTGGAAAGTGGCTAATACAGAAAATCAATACCAGGAGTGAGGTATGGTTGTGACTGTACCTGACCATGTGGGTCAGAAGCCTTTGGAACTGGTTTGTGGGAGGAGTTTGGAAATGTTTGGAGAAGCCCTAGAATGCTGTAAGACAAGCTTGATGGGAGATTGCTTGGATTTTAAAAGGCCAAAATGAAATGATAATAAGAATTTGGACAGGAAAGGCTAGGCTCATGAAGTTTCAGATAGGAATGAGCATCATAACAGAAACTGGACTAGAGGTCATGTGTATTTCATTCTGGCAAAGCATTTGTCTACGTTTTGCTTATGTCCTAAAACTTTGTGTAAGGCTTCTTAAAGGTGGTAGACTACAGTAAGTCCCTAACTTGCAAATGAGTTTCATTCCAGAATTGTTCCTAAGTCAGATTTGTTCATAAGCCAACAAAGTGAGTCTTATACAGTACTCTTGTGAAAGTTCGCAACTGAAATGTTTGTAAATCAGGGACTTAGTGTAATTAATATGGTGGAGGAAATTTCCAGGCAGCCCAATGTTCAAGCTGTGGTATGAGTACTGCTGGCTGTTTTTAGCCAGTGAGAAACAGGAGGAAAAAAAGCAAACCCAAATAATTTGAAGCATGGCCAGAAAAGAAATGTAAAGTTGGGACAAAGGACAGCATGTTTGCTGAAAAGATTAACATTAAAAAGAAACCAAATACTTTCCATGAAGACAGTAAGAAAGAGGGCTTGAAGACACTTCAGGAATCAGCCAGTGCCTACCATTACTTGCTTACAGGTGCACAAATGTAAACCTTTCATTTGAGAAGATAACCTCCAGAACCCCTACTCAAGAAGGACTACCTAAGAATTGGTTCTCTTGGATTCATTTCACTGTGCTCAAGCATCTAGGCACTCACCCTGCTACTGCTCAAGATGGCAGACAACCTTGGCATCAACTACATGGTGTTGATTTTTCAGACATGCAAAATGTAAAAGTTGTGGGGTCATGGAGGCTTCTACCCAGATTTCAAAAGAATGCCCAGAAGGCCAGGCAAAAATATGTGACAAGGTCATAGTCCCTACCAGGAGCCCGGGAGAGGGTGATGCATGAAGCTTTGAGAGTGAAGCCAAAAGTGCAGTGGAGACCCCAGGAATTTGGAAATGCCAGGAACATGGTATATCTGCCAAGAAAAGCTGCAGGCAGTAAGCAGGCAATGATGAAGCCAGACCAAGAGAGAAGCCATGTGGGCTGCAAACTGGCAAGGCTATAGAGGCAAGGCTGTCAAGCTCTTTCAAGCTCACATCTCACCAGAGCCCCTCCCAAGGGTTTTACATGAATATGCAAAACTTAATGTTTGCCCTGTGGGGTTTCAGCCTTTCTTTGGTCCTATTCCTTTCTACCCCTCAGTTTCTCCCTTTTGGAATGGGAATGGTAACGCTGTGGTACTTTATATTGGAAGTATTTGTTATGGCTTGAATCTAGATATCCCTCCATAGCCTCATGTGGTCATAAATGGGGCTTTTTAGAGGTGGATGGGATTAAGGATGTGATGCTGGGATTGAGGATGCCCCACCCTGTGTGTGAGTGGCACTAATCAATAGGCTTGCAGCCTAGATAGAATATAAAGAAACAGAAAGAAGAGCTGCTATTGCTGCTGCTTTGCTACTTTGCTGCCTTCTGTCTGCCATCCCATGGACTGTTTCTCCTCTCTGATGCCCCTCTGCCTGCCACCTTGTCTTGGAACCAGCCGACTATGGACTGAAACCTCTGTGAACTGTGAGCTGAAATAAACCTTTCCTCCTTTAACTTTGAGTGTCTGGTGTTTTGGACTTGAACTTTTTGGAAGTGCTGAAACTGTTAAAACTCTGGTGACTTTTTTTTGGTACTGGGGATTGAGCTCGGGTCCTTATGCTTGCAAGGCAGGTGGCGGAACCATTGAGCTAAATCCCTTGGCCTAAAACTCTGGTGACTCTTATAGATGGACTAAATGCATTGTACATGAGATGGATTTGAGTCTTTTGGGGGATGGGGTGGAATGATGTGGTTTACATCTAAAATGTCCCTCCCAAAGCCTCATATGTTCAGAACTGGGACTTTTGAGGGGATGATTGGATCCTAGGGAGCACTGTATCAGTGGAATAATGTGCTGATGAGTTCATACCTGAGTGTCCTATTATGGGTTAGGGCCTGGCCAGAAGAGGGAGCAGGACCCGGAAGGGTATACTCCTGTCCCCAGCTCCTCCTCTCTTGCTCTCCTTGCTGACTGGAATAGTATAAGCAGCTGTCCTTTGCCATGCCCTTCACCATGCTGTTTTTGCCTTTGATCTAGTTGATTTTGGACTAAACCCAGTGGAAACTGAGCCACATAAACCTCTCCTCTAAATTGTAGGTGTCAGGCATTTTGTCCCAGTGTTGGGAAAGTGACTAATACCAATCCCATACTCATACCATCTTA